GTTAAGCGATATTCTTTTGTGGACGAGGTATATTTGTCCTTTCATGAAATTTCTCTGGATGATGAGACAGAGTTACTGATCAGTAGCAAAAGTTTCTGAGAATTGCAGTGAATTTTTTGTAGGTTCTAGGACAATACAGGAATATGAGGTTAACAACCACTGGTGCAGCAAATGTTCAAGGTTACAATGGCGTTGAATGAGCAATAGTTATGATTGGTCCTCGAAGTCCTGGCCATTCCAGCACATCTGTGGTTATGTGATGGCAACTGGCTTGCACTTATGATGGTTGCAGCATCCTGCGGTCACATGATCATGATTTGTGACCTTCCCTGGCAGCTTCCCACAAGCAAAGCCACTTGCCTGCCTGCTGGCTTTCTTGCAAGCTGCCTGGGATTTGGAAATGCCTGCCAGCTTCCCCACTGACTTTGTTGGAAGCCAGCAGGAAGTTGCAAGGAGGTGCTCACTTAATGCCCCACTATCCTCACTTAACAGGGGCAGTGGAAACTGCAGGGATTGCCATTGCTAAGCAATGCAGTCGAGGGATGTTAACCATTTATAACTGTATCGGTTAGCAACAGAAATTCTGATCCCAACTGCAATCATAACTCAAGGACTACCAGTACTGCAAACCCTATCCTACGTATATACACATTGATCTGGTTTCTGTTTTGTCTTGAGCAGCTTTCTTTGATCCTCACATTATTTGCTGCATTTTGGGTAAGTATTATTCGTCAAACATTTTGTGCATTTCAGCATGAATTTACTTGCTTTGGATGCTGTAGTTAGTGTCTTATTTAAGATTTACCTTGTCTAGCTTACGATATTAGACAAATGTAAATTCTGCCCAGTTTTTTGATCTGTTAAATAGGCGTAGATTGAATGATACTTTGTCATTTAAGTCTGCATGCATGAGTGACCTTAATATTGTTGCTTATTCCCTCTAATAGAAAAGTGAAATTATGTGGCTACCTGCTTTGCTTAATTTTCAGTCAGAAATAGAAGATCCACGTTAACACATTTTGTTCTTAAAATACTATCAAATTCAACACATGTTCTTTTCCTCTTTCTTAGTGGCAAAAGAAAGGGTTAGCTCTGCTGTTCTGCATTTTGCAGTTCCTGGCAATGACCTGGTAAGGCTTTCTTTGAATTCTTATCGTTTATTAGTCATGCAAATCTTTTATTGTTACAAACGATGCAAATCCAATAGTGTAGTCACTTTATTTGTGATTGTGACTTGAAACATTGTGGATTCTTAGAACTAAATAATAAAAATGCTTTTCAAATTGTTTTGGGGAACTCTGGGATTCAGCCATAGTTTCATTCCATACAGCATTAACCTTGTGAACTCTCAAGCTTCCTCATTCTGTTATATATTCAAGATGGACAGTATTTAATATTTATTTGCTATGTATATGTAGGGGTGGGGGTCTATACATATGTTGTTCATAGTATGTTTAGGTGTGTGTCATGTATGTGTTTCACTTTGAGAGCGGGCAACTAAATTTCATTTTTGAGGTGTGCCGTTGTGCCCACAATAAAAAAAAAATGACAATAAAGGTTATCTTATCTTATTAGTCTCCAGAAAGTCTGTAGGTAGCTACCGGACTAATTAGCTGAACCCACTTCTCCCCCATGCTTCCTTCTCTCCCACCCCCCCTCTTTTAACTCATACTGTTATACTTTCATTATTTATTTTTAGCACTAGCAGTAACACTTAGACTTATATACCGCTTCATAGTGCTTTATAGCCCTATCTAAGCGCTATACTGATCCAGCCTATTGCCCCCAACAATCTGGGTCTTCATTTTTACCGATCTCAAATGGATGGAAGGCCAAGTCAACCTTAAGTCGGTCAGAATTGAACTCCTGACAGTGAGCAATGAGTTAGCCTGCAATATTGCACTCTAATCACTGTGCCACCAAAGCCCTTATTTTTATTGTTTCACTATTTTGCAATTATTGGGTTTACATTTTTTAATCATTTTTTCCACTGTACTATTGTAAGTCACCCAGAGTAGCCCTATGGCCGGATGGGCAGCAAATAAATTTAACAAATAAATAAACAGAAATTCACTAACAAGAAGATGATTAAAGGATATTCTTTCTTTTACTGATATGTTTCTTCAGTACATAGTTTCATAGGGGTTGTTGGATGTTCTGGAACATGTCATGCTTAGCAGGGTGTCTTACCATTTCTAGCTGGTGCATAGAACTCTATAGCTCGTATTTCTTTTGGGAAAGGATATATTTATTAAACCCGCCAAAACAAATGTCATAGCACAGCGGTTCTCAACGTTTGTGTGACGGCGACCCCCGTCACACAAACGTTATGCGCATGCACAGCACGCATGCGTGGCGGCGCCCCCATGTGCAGCGCGCATGCGCGGGGGGCTGCCCCATGCACGGTGCGCACACGCCGCGGCGCCCCCATGCGAGGCGTGCATGCGTGGCGCTGCCCCCATGCGCGGCGTGCATGCGCGGTGGCGGCCCCATGCGCGGCGTGCATGCGCGGTGGCGGCCCCATGCGAGGCGCGCATGCGCGGTGGTGCCCCCGGAGGGGAGAAAATGGCGGATCGCCACCTTTGGCGACCCCCGAAAAATGGTCGATCGACCCCAAATGGGGTCGCGACCCATAGGTTGAGAACCGCTGTCATAGCATATTATGAACAAATCATGATCATAATTTAAAGACTTGGCATTTCAGATATTGACCATAGATCAATCCTTTATTTATTTATTAACAGTATTTATTATTAGTCATTTTACAATATTTCTAGTGCATCCCAATCCAAATGGGATTGGTCAGGTATTAACAAATCCCAAAATAATGCATTAGAAACATATAGAGAAAATAAAAATCAGTAGCAAAAAAACCAACAACCCCACCTTAATGCATCACAGTCACTTTTCATTTAACTGAAGGGCCAAATGCTCTCTGGAGTAGTGCTGCTTTGCCTTCTTTTTGGAATGCTCGTAGACTAGGGGCTCTCCATACTCTCAAGAGAAAATGTTCCTATTGAGGAATGCCATCACTTACAAGACCTGTCCCCTGGCCCAGATGGGCAACTTCAATTTCTTGTTTATATGCACACTGAATTTTGAATTAATTGATGGGGAGGAGTAAAATCTGTATTTACTGAACCTTCCTTCTAGGACGTTTATCAGTCAATAGCACCAATCACATTTGTTTACTATTTTGAGTTTCTACACGTTTAGAGCAAAATCTGAAATGGAAGGTAGAATTTGGAATCTTATAGTGGCATATCTATTGTTTTATTCTGAAGTATAATCTGAGTAGCTGATTATATGAAATTATTACAGTAGCAGACTGATTTCTCTGTGGACAGCTGCAAAAGGATGCTAAAATATAATGTCTCTTCTTTCTCTCTTAGGTACAGTCTGTCATACATCCCATATGCAAGGTAAATTTGTGCAGTTATTATGTGGGAGGTAATCAGGTGTATTCTGAGTGGCAGTTACAGGTAGTCCTCAACTTACTACAAGTTACAACAGTGATTTGAAAAAAGTGATTTAGGGCCGTTTTTCACACTAATGACCGTTGCAGCACCCCCATGGTCATGTGATCAGAATTTGAATGCTTGGCAACTGGTTCATATTTATGACAGTTGCAGTGTTCCGGGGTCACGTGATCCCTTTTTGTGACCTTCTGATAAGCAGTCAAAGGGAAAGCCAGATTCGCTTAAAAACTGGGTTAATAAAGACTCTGGTGATTCACAACAACTGTGGGAAGAAAGATTGTAAGATGGGGCCAAACTCACTTAACAAATGTCTTGCTTAGCAACAGAAATTTTGGGCTCAGTTGTGGTCGTAAGTTGAGGACTAGCTGTATCTAGCACGTTGGTCTTCAGTATGAGGCCTGCCAAGCTTCAGACCTCAGTTGATTTTATTTTGTTAAATTCCTTGAACAAAATTAATGTACTTGAAATCAAATGCAAATTAAAATTGCCATTACAATGGCTGTAAAATGTTGATTTTTTTAAAAAATGAATGCTTGGTTATATAATTGCACAATGGTTGTCTGAAACGGTATCATTTTGCATGCATCAAGAATGGGGAAAGGGAAGGCTTTTTAAATTAGAAGTTAATTTGTATACCACTTGGTAAAGCCTTAAAAATCAATGCATCATATCTACAAGCTGCACATAGTGATTTTTCTTTTTCTTTTAAAGGGATGCTATATTGAAATGCTTCACTTCTTGTCTAAGTTAAAGAGAAGCAGAACTTTTTCCAGTGCTTGGAAACCTACATCATTTCTCCTAGGATTACTCCAAGTGGTTCAGGTCCTGAAACAGTGACAGCCTTCTTCACAACGGGGATTAAATTGTATTAGTAGAAGAACCTTAAAAAAAAAAAAAAAAGTACAAAACCAGGGCATTTATACCATCACAAGACCCCTCAATCCATGCTTGTTCTAAAAATATTATTTTTTTACTCACTCAGTGGTCTTAAAATTGTTGGGTGAAAGTCTGCTAACATGATTTAATCTTAAAATTATATGGTTGTTGAGTTTCAGGTAAAATGCATGTAAATACATGTTCCTTATTTTTTATATTTATCTTTCCAATTCATCTATTATTTGTTTTATTTTCCAAAGTCCTATTAAACTGCAAATTGTAAAATGAAGAATTATACTATGTTATACCTACTGAGCCTCTTCAGAAATGATTAACAATGGATAGCATGGGGGGAAATGAGACTATATAAAAAACGTGCTTTCCAAATTCAGGAACTTTGTGTTATTCCTTTATTTTAAATGCCAACTTTTTATACTGTGATACTTAACACACATTTAACTAAAAGTAATATATTAAATCAGTGATTAAAATATTTAAAATTATGCAGTCTAATGGTATTTATGGTTGAGATGTTCTGTAGATTACACTAGTGCTGTTAGAACTACCATTAAATTACTTGGTCAGGCTCAAACATAGGTTAATGCTTACATTTTGCTTATTTTAAACAATAGGTAATATCTACTTATATACTCACAATTTATCTATAGCATGCCCACTTTCTTTTCTGTAACTTTAGAATTAATCTCCCATATACACATCTTCCAATGCCAGTAATGGTCTTGGGAGAGGAAGCATTCAAGTAAAATCGATACATTCAAGTAAAGCCCTTACGTTTAATTATGTGGCTAATGGTTTGTTGGATGGAACTGAAGGCTTGTTTCAGCAATTTAGCAGTTTAAACAATGGGTTAAGCCACAAAATGAATAACTTGTTATCTAGTAATTTAATTCACCACCACCACCATATATTATGAAGATCAAGAGTGCTAAAACTCCCATTTCCTTGTTCTGCTTTCAGAGGGATTATATGCACTAATATATAGTAGTAAGTAATAGGCCAGTGTGGCAAAGTCCCTTGTAAAAAAGAGGGGCAGGCAGCTGACTCATGAGTAAAAGCAAACTAACACTGGACTCCAGGGTAATTTCCAGCACATCCTCTGCAGCCTTCTATTTATTCTCATGCTCTGGTACTTGCTCTTCCTCCAACGCCCACACCTTTTTCTCTTGGCAGGACATCTTTAAAGCTTTAGCCGATCCTGAACCCGAAGACACTTAACAATGAAAACAATTAACCATAGGCTGTTTCTTTAAAATAGACTTTAGTTTGGAAGAAAAAAAGTTGTAGCCTGACAATATTTGCCTTCTAGGAAAGGGCCTAGTGATTGAGGGATCCTTCCTTCATCTACCCAGCATCCTTGGTTTCTATGTTTGCTGATAAGGAAGAGGTTTTGACTTCTTACAGGAAACCTCATAGTTTGCATGGAATTCCTTTGTTGTCAGCGGTGACCAGGAAAACAATAAATGCAAAACCAGTTTAAGGAAATAACAGTGGCATATGCTGAACTTACATATATTTACATAGCAGGAGGCCATTCTAAGGCCATCCTACTGGTACCTCAGAACGCATAAATCTACTTCACTGTGGTCTGCTTACATAGTGCACTTAACTAGGCAGCATCAAGTGACTGCATTGGCTAAATGTAGTAAGGCTTAACCTCAGTTAGGCTTCAATGACTTAGATTGTTTGAATTCGCTCCGTCTGGGAAACGTGACTCACTATAGCAGCGACCTAGGCTACTAGCACGCAATCTAGAAGCAAATAGGGTTGTTATAATACAGGCTATTGTCAACGAGGGATTCGTGTTTCAAGGAAATTGGTAAATTTGGGGGTTTTGAATTGGAAGTTGTAGGTCCAGCAGCATCAACTAATCGAAAAGTCCCACTTTTTTCAGAGCTGGGGCAGATTCCCAGTAGTAGATCACTCCTTTACCTTTTGGGGGTCGAGGAACTGAAGCTTCAAAAACGGGCCCAGCTTCTACGGTAGCTTGATCCGCCTCGGCTCTTCTCTCTTTGCTAGATAGGGGGCGAATTTCAGCCTTGAGGAAACGGATTGGCTCTGCGGCCAGCCCTAATCAAAGCCCTCTAGCCTCGCCTGCCCGTCGCCGCTCGCTCGGCTCCTCCTCCGAAGTCCAACCCGCCGCGTGTCTCTTTCACCGGCAGCATCAGAGCCCCGGTGGCGCGCGGAGCTGCCAGGCTGGTTCGGCGAAGGCTGGGAATTCCGCTTGAGTGGGCGAGTCTTTGAAGAGATGCCCAGCTGAGCGCGGACACAGGAGGAGGAGGAGGAGGAGAAAAAGTCTCCCCCGCCATGTCCTTGCCTCCTATCGCGCCGCCACCTTCGGCCGCCCCCCGACTGCAATCGAGGAAGCCACACCAGCCGTCGCCGCCAGTGGCGGCTCCTCGAAAGCCGATGGCGGTGCTGGCGACGGCCCCTCTCGCTCCAGGCAAGCCTCCTCGGAAAGGGCGCGGCGTGCCTTCCGAGCGGTCCGTCGGCTTCTCCAGTTCCTGGCCCAGCGCCTCCCTGCAGAAGCAGCTGCCGCGCAGCCGAGCGGCCCAAGGCAGCAGGAACGCCCCGCCGCCCGAAAGAGGGGCGGCAGCGGCAGCCTTGAGCGCTACCTTGTCTCGCAGCCGGGGCCGCTCGGGGCCGCCAGCCGCCGGCACGCACTCCTGCGAGAGCCTCTGCGCTGCGCCGGGAGGCCGCGGGGAGGCTTCGCTGCGCTTCTCGCTCAGCCTTCCCCCGGAGGCGATTCGGGTCCTGCAGCGGCGGAGCCTGGAGAAGCAGCAGCGGCCGCGAGGGCGGGTGGCCCGCTTCGCTTCCCCCGACGCCTCCAGGTGTCCTCTGGCGGGAACCTCGTCGCCCGAGGGGGACTTGCGCGCCTTGCTGCAGGTGTCGCTGCTGAACGAGCGCCACCGCTACGACGACGTGGAGTACGAGGAAGACGAGGCGGCAGGCGACCCCGGAGCCTTCACGGCGGACGAAGGGCTGGTGCGCAAGTGCACCGAATGGCTCCGTGGCGTGGAAAGAGCCGCTGCCCGGGACCGGGCGGGCAAGATGGACAGCCTGCCTCACTTGAGCACCCTTTGAGCGGCCGGGCTTGTGCTTCCTCAGCCTTTCACAACCGGCGTGGCCCTTCGGCAAGGCGCTCTTCCGAAAAAGCACCGTTTGCGAATAAAAATGCTTACCATTCCTTTTCCCCCGTTGCTTTCTTGCTTATTCCTGCGGGGGAAAATCTCACTTTCTACTTATGGGTCGTACTGTATGTGGTGGATTTCAGCCTCTGTCGGCTCCGGATCTTTCCTGGGGAGGTGGGTGTGGTTTTCTTTTTGTGCCTTTTCTTCTGAAACACCCAGGCGGAAAGCCCTGCCATTCTAATACCAGCGGTTGCTAAGGTAGCAAGGTGGCCTCACGTTGTACAACGGTAGCTTTATGTAAAATGCACTTTGAAGGAATTGTTACTCCCCAGTCAACACCATCTCTTTGCTGATAGCACATCAGAAAGGCGCTTACCATTGTCTCCCAAGATATGTGTCAAATATGTCTGCCAAAAGAGCATCCTCCCTTCACCTCCGCTTCTCGAAATCTGCTTCACTCCTTAAATGGATTAGTGTTCCCTATCCAGCATTTTTTTAAAAAAAATGTCATTGCATAGTGTTAAGGAAAAAGACAGAGGAATGCAACTCATCTGTGTGTGTTGTTCTTTGCTAAGGTAGTCTAAATGTTTGAACATGAAAGATAAGAATGATGAAGTAAGTTTAATGCCTCAAATGTATATAGGTTTTATTAATAACAGCCAAATATGTGTGTTCAATTTTTATCATCTCTATTCAATTTGTTATAACACATTGTTTTATTTTGTTAACCTATATAAAAATTGAGGACTGCTGTATAATTTGAATCTGTTCCAAATATGTTTGGGACAAGTTCACCTTACTGAAAAAGGGGATAACATCTGAATGCATGCAGAGATCCAGGCGAGTTAAAGGAAGATTGAAAAAAAAAATTCTCCATGGTTTATTTAAACTTTCTGGATGTGCTCTGAGGGTGACTCTGAAGTTTATGTATTAACTTTCATTCTCGCAACAGAGACAAAAAGTATGCTGTCTCTATTCAAAGTGTTTGAAACAAAAATATTTTTATTAGTACTTTGTAAATATAGAATAGCACAGTGATTTTGTAAACCTGCAACATTTCTATTTATTTGATTAAACAGTAAAACTTTGTGAGACATTGTGTGTGCTTTTGTTTAATATCTTACATTTTCACAGAAAATTCACTAATGGATTCATCATTGGCAAAGCAGACGAAGTTAAAATTGCATATTTTTTTATTTCAGTAAAGAGGCTTACATATATATCCTTTTCTTTTACATCAATGTGTTCATCTCATTGGAGTGTTTGTACTTTGATGAGAGCTCAATTTATCCAGAAAGCAAGTAGTTGGAAATAAATACCTAAATATTTATAGTAGATTTTTTTTCAATAGCTTCACCATTTATTTGCCAAAATCAGAAAGAATAAATTATTTTTTATGAAAACCAGCAGCTTTATTTTAGTATACCTAATCTCTAGGTTATTCCTGGGGAGTGGGGATGAGGACACTACCGGTCCTACTCATCTGCAAAGGCCAATTTGGGATATGCTAAAATAATGTTATCATCTGAATAGTGTCTTCCAATCTTGGTCAATTGAAGATGTGCAAACTTCAAACTCTCACTATTCCCCTGCTGGCCAGCCTGGAATAGGGTGAAATGAACATGGGTGAGAGCTGAGGGATAAAATTTCAAATGGCAGGAGCCAGAATGATGCTACTAATATAAAAAATTAACTGCAGGAAGCCAGACAGTGCTTCTGCTTGATTTCTTTTGACATGGGAATGTGAGAGATAATTCATTGTTTTTACATTTGATTTGCATAAAAATGCTCCCATGCAGCAGCATTATCAGTTTGAGAAGGCCAAGGATCAACAGAAGCCATCTAAATTCTTCCCCAGCCTTGTCTAGTTGATAATGACAGTGTAAAGATAACTTCTTAAGGACTTAAATATTTCTCAGCCAGATGGTGTTGAGATTTTTATACTGATCAGCAGTCAAGCAAGCTAATCTGAAACTTGCTTATTCTGTGGAAGGTGCACGCTGGGATTATGCGCTCGGCAAGCTTGTTACAAAAACATTTTGTATAGACCAGTGGTTCTCAACCTGTGAGTCAGGAACCCATTTGGGATCGAACGACCATTTCAAGGGGGTCGCCAAACAAGGCTGTCCACCATTTTTTCCCCCTTTTCTTTGGCCACGCCCCTGGCACCCAGTGATGTATAAGTGGTTGGGGGTCACCACAACATGGGGGAACTGTATTATGGGGTCACGGCATTAGAAAGGTTGAGAACCACTGGTATAGACATTGCCAATTTTACATGGGATAGTTGGGTGATCATTTGCCAGATTTTTCTTGTAGAGATTAGGTGGAATGGCTCAAGTTATAAGGCAGCAATAGGGGATTGTTGATGCTTGCAAATAGGAGAACTAGTATAGAGGCCCACTAACTGGGATTTATTTTCAAAAATCTGGGGGGAATTAAGTCCCCTTCAACCACTTTGCTGTTCTTTCAGTGGGAGAGCAAGTTAAACATTTCTGAATTTGAAAATGATGGCCCCTCATACAGGAGAGACAGAAATTGCAAAGCCTTGATTTAATAATAATAATATTAATAAAGTTGGAAGGGACCTTGGAGGTCATCGAGTCCAACCCCCTGCTCAGGGAGGAAACCCTATACCATTTCAGACAAATGGCTGTCCAGTTTCTTCTTAAAAACATCCAGTGTTGGAGCATTCACCGCTTCTGGAGGCAGGTTGTTCCACTGGTTAATTGTTCTAACTGTCAGGAAGTTTCTCCTTAGTTCTAGGTTGCTTCTCTCCTTGCTTAGTTTCCACCCGTTGCTTCTTGTCCTGCCTTCAGGCGCTTTGGAAAATAGCTTGACTCCCTCTTTTTGTGCCAGCCCCTGAGATATTGGAACACTGCTATCATGTCCCCCCTCGTCCTTCTCTTCATTAAACTAGACATACCCAATTCCATCAACCTTTCCTTATATGTTTTAACCTCCAGTCCCCTAATCATCTTTGTTGCTCTTCTCTGTACTCTTTCTAGAGTCACAACATCTTTTTTACATCGTGGTGACCAAAACTGGATGCACTATTCCAAGTATGGCCTTACCAAGGCACTGTAAAGTGGTATTAATACTTCACGTGATCTTGATTCTATCCCTCTGTTAATGCAGCCTAGCACTGTGTTGGCTTTTTTGGCAGCTGCAGCACACTGCTGGTTCATATTTAAGTGATTGTCCACTAGGACTCCGAGATCCCTCTCACAGTTACTACTATTGAGCAAGGTACCCCTCTACTATACCTGTACATTTGGTTTTTCTTGCCTAAATGTAGAACCTTACTTTTTTCACCGTTGAATTTCATTTTGTTAGATAGCGCCCAGTGTTCAAGTCTGTCCAGATCCTCCTGTATCTTAAGCCTGGAGTGTTGGCTATTCCTGCCAGCTTGGTGTCATCTGCAAATGTGATAAGTTCCCCATCTATCCCCTCATCCAAATCGTTGATGAAGATGTTGAAGAGCACTGGGCCCAGAACAGAGCCCTGGGGCACCCCACTACGCACTTCCCTCCATGTAGATGCAGTTCCATTGAGGACCACACGCTGAGTACGGCCGCTCAGCCAGCTATGGATCCATCTGGTGGTGATGCTGTCTAACTCGCATTTTTCTATCTTATCAAATAGTAGGTTGTGATCTACTTTATCAAATGCCTTACTGAAGTCCAAGTAAATTATATTCACAGCATTCCTCTGGTCCACTAATTTTGTCACTTGGTCAAAGAATTTCTCCACTGATTGATCATGAAATAGGTTACAGTAGTGGGTGTCCTCATGCACAATGAATTTTTAGAGCTGGAACTAGATCTACTGGCTACATAGGATTAAAGACACCAAAACAAGTTATCATTTTGTTGAGAACCGCTTGTTGGAACTTTTCTCAGTTCATTGTTTTCCTTTCCTCCCTGAACCTACCCAGAAAAGACTGGTACTCCATTTTCAAGGAACAATTTCTCCAATATTTGCATAATTATAGCGCTTCATGGGTTTATAGGTAGAAACTAACATGGCCCTGTCTGAGATACTCTGTCAAAACTAGAGTATGGAAGCTGCACAGGTAGTCCTTGATTAACAACTGCCCTGTTTAGCAACCATTCAAATTTATAACAGCACTGAAAAAGGTTTACAATTGATCCTCGAACTTAGGACAGACACTGCATCCCCTGGATCATGTGGGGCAGCATCCCCAAAACACTTGGCAACTGGCACACATTGGTAACTGGCACACAGTCACAGTTTTCCATGGTCATGTGATTGCCATTTGCAGCCTTCACTGCCAGCTCCTGACATCGTTACAGCCAGATACATCTATAAATGTAGATACATCTATAAATCTGCTGCTTTTGTCAAAGTGATAAAAACAGCATCACTATATTGCAAGGCATGTTCCGCCCCTTTCATATGTATGTGACATCCAACACATGTTGGAGCTGGAATCACTTTAGTGTGGTCTTGCTTTTATAAAGAAAGCCTTAAAGTGTTTTTGTAATAGTATATATATTCATATTCGTGCAATTATTTATATAAATATTCCTACTATAGACTCGGCTTGGAACACAGCATTTGTGCTCAGAAGTACATAACATATTTACCCGGAAGGGTCAGGATAGTGTCATCAGCACAGCACCCTTTGGAGTGGAACAAATTGATAAATTAGTCCCCTATTCATTTCAGCTTCCTAAGCCATACCATCCAACTGCATTTTATTCTTGTATTTCCAGTTTTGGCATTCCAATCTCCAATCACAAGCAGCACATCTTGTATGTTCTGTCAGTTTCAAGCTGAACTTCATCAAGGAAGGAACTCTGCACCAGAGTTCTCTCCCCAAACTTTGTTAGTTGAAACATTGGTCCTATAGGTTTTCTTCTAAACAGCGCAAATCTACTTCCATACAGATAGATCAATTAGAGCAATTGTATCTGGGATTATTCTAAGGATTAGTTTTCTGATCAGGTAGTCCAGTTTCCAAATTCAGAAATGATTACTGCAAGTGATTTCATTTCTAGGATGGAACTCAATGACGAGTCTCTTCTTCAACCTTTGTTTCTGCATTGATGGTTGAACCATAAATTTAAATGACCATCATATTATTTAATCATATTATTATTAAATGACCATCATATTATCATATTGTCCATGAAGTTTACTTGGTATTATTCAGTTACTGATTCCATTGTAGCCAAGTACTGTTCCTACTATACCTTTCCTAACCATAAAAGCAATACTATGTCTTAGTTTTTTCTCATGCCTTGAATAATAAATGGTATGATCTTATGACAGAAAGGGTCCTATCCTATCCATTTCAATTGGCTAATGCCTAAGAGATGAATTTGTAGTTGTTTCATTTTTCACTGAGGTGAGTTTTCCTATGTTTATGCTTCTTATGTTCCATATCCCTACCGCAATTCTATCTTTCTAGCTTTGGATTTTCTTTTCTTGTTTGGCAACATCAGCAACTTGACGTCCTGAAGATTTTAGCTCTGTTATAAACACCATCAATATTCTAGAACAGTGGTTGTTAACCTTTTTGAACAAATCGCCCCCTTGAGCCAATGAGGAAGTTGTCATCGCCCCCCTCCCCCAACATAACCTCTCAATCACAACATAGGAAATAATTCTTCAATTTATGCAAACACTTTTTTTTGTTTTCTTTAAAATTGTCATCAGGACATATCGATGCAAATAGTTTATTTCCAGTCTTTTTCCCATATCTCAACTGTGTGAAAAATTTTGGTGCCACCCGGCACTTTATGCCCAAACTTCGTGATACATGTATTTCATTATTATCTTATTTATTCAAGACACTTAAATGTAATCACCACTGAAAACAAAATTCAATTGCAAGAAAGTGAAATGCCCAAAAAGAAAAACACAATTCAATCCACTAATAGCGAGCGATCTGATGTTTTTGTACGACAGATATACAGTGATTCACTGTATGAAAAAGTCTCAAAAGTGTCCCCAAAACTTCTCGCTCCATCGCCCCCTTTTCGTTCCTTCGCGCCCACATCGCCCCTTTTCGTTCCATCGCCCCCCTGAAAAACAAAATCGCCCCCTGGGGGGCAATATCACCCAGGTTAAGAACCACTGTTCTAGAAGATCGCCAGCTCTTTCTGGATAGCACCAGACAATCATTTTCTATTTTCTACCCATCTGATTTTTTAAATAAAACTACAGGAGTATCAAATACTAGCTTTGCTATCAAATACCACTGCTTTCTCCCACACCGTATGAATTGATGTCTTTGCCATTATCATGGCCTCTAGCATCTTCCTATATCACTGCTGCCCAATATAGATGCCCACTTTTTTAGCTGGGCAGCTGGAGTGACCTTTATATATTGAGTGATCCAGTTGAGAATATATACCATTGGCACAAACTCACAATACTCTGCTTGTCGCTCGCAGCATTCCCTGCCACAATGAAGCAGCTCAGCAGGATTTTGGTGGTGGTGGTGGTGGTGAGATGTCTCCATGGAAATATATATAGCTATTTATAGGAAGTAAAATAAAAAACATTAGGTTGCCTTTATGTGAGTTACTCCTCTTTTAAACCCCTTATGCATGGAGAGAACAGAAGTGCTGGAAGAAAATTTTTAAAGCTGCTTTTGGATATTCCCTTGTAGCTAGTACTCTGTTTACTTAATTATGCTAGCCTTATTAGAAATATTGAGATGTATTCCCCAATAAAGACATCTAAAATTAAGGAGATATTAAATCCCTCATGTAAAACTGTTTCTCTGATGGAGCAGGCAGCTCAAATTTTGGGAATGTGCATTATTTAAATCTTATGTATTTATGAAATTGGGATGTGAGCATTTAGAATTAACCAACAAGAAATTACAGAAAACAAAATCTTTCTTCAACGCTATTTATGATAACCGGGATTATGAATTTCAGGTTATCGGTGAAATAAATAAAATAAATGTTCGATTCTTGTACATTGTACCATTCTAAAATAATAAAATCAACAGTTCCACGGAGGAACCGGTGTGACGCCACGAGGACGCAGTGAAAAACTTTTTTTTTAACCCCCCCCCAGGGGACCTTTTTGAAGAACACGTGTGCATTTGAACAGTCATTCCCGCCATTGTTTGCTTTCCCCGCCCAGGAATTTCAGGCCTTCTTTTTATAGGGAAGAGACAGAAAAGCAACCTCTCCGGCCCTTAAAAGTCAGAGGAAGGGTCGCCATCGGTTCCGCGGGAACGCGGGTGGGAAGGCGAGACGGGTGGCGACCAAACCTGACCCGCCCCTGCAGCTCCCAAAACGGAAGCCAGGGAGTTTTCGCCTGTGCACCGAGGGACGCCGTGCTCCGTTGCCAGCGGTAAGCCGCACCGCGATCCCTCAGACTCAGAGGGAACGTGGGGATGGGGGGGGGGGGAAGTTGTCCTTAGAAAGACTCGCTTAAAGCGCACTGGCTTTGCAGCCAGAAGATCCCTAGGGAGAAAGGAGGGAAGAAAAGTCAAAGTCAGCCGCCGATGAGACAGGATTGTTGGATGCATTTGGGCTCACACAACAGGGCTAAACCAAAATACGTGTTTCACCCACCTATAGCCAGAAAGGTTGCAAATCCTGGTCCAGCGTATTTTTTTTTGAAACCAACAGCTACTGTTCCTTAAGAGGCATGGATATGCTGGAGGATCCATGCCGAAGGTAGCTAACAAGGAAGCTCTTGGGCATGCTGATCCACATTTTTGTGACAAAGGACTTTGGGATGATGATATTGTATTTCATCCTTCATAACAACCTGTTCAGCCTGGTGTCATATTATGCAGGGAGATGTACAGTAATAACAGAAAATTCCACAAGGTACACCTCTCAAGGGCTGGCTTGAGACAGCCAAGATCAGAAGGACTTTGACTTTCAGAAGGACACTTGACTTTCTGTGAAGAACTTTCTTTGTTTTGAATGGCCCCTTCTAGGTTCTGGCACTCTTCAAGGATCACGAAGCCCTGGAGGATAGCATCTGAGACTTCATGAGTTATAAGCCATGCTCTTTGGGCTAGACATTGGGTTTGCTTAGAGCAGGGGTAGGCAACCTTGGCTCTTTTATGACTTGTGGACTTCAACTCCCAGAATTCCTGAGCCAGGCTAAAAGAGCCAAGGTTGCCTACCCCTGGCTTGGAGTTATATTAGATTTTTATTGGACCTGGTGGCTGACATGGCCCATTGAAAATTGCTGAGCTTCTGAATTCAGAGGTTCATTGAATTGAGCTCCATCAGTGGCCTGAGAAACGTTCTCCTGGCCCCATTGGGGATTGAGACATGAACACTGCTTTGGCTAGTAGCAACCTGTTTGTAGCGGTTCATAGAGCATTTGCCTTGCAGATCTTGGAGCTTAGCAGAAATAATAATTTTATGTAAATGGAAAGAAACGTATACTCCTGATGTTAAGGAATAGATTCAAGATTTGTGGTGTCCATTTTTGAAGAACTAGATAGCTACAAGGCTAAGTTTAATAATCAGTTGAAAGACTGGATTAATTTTATATTGATCCTACACAGTTCTTATTTTTTCTTTATTAGTTTCTTGCTTTATGTTCACCTTACTTTGATCATTGTTAATATATTTTGATCTTTGTCATTCTTTTTATTGGATAGTCAATGAATCACCAATTTTTAAAAAATCAATAGTTCACTTAAGAGAACCCTTTGGAGTTCAGAAATACCTTAAGAAATCAAGGTAACATTCTATGAATGTTACATTGTTTTGTGCCTATTCATCATGGTCATTAATCTTCTCTTCTTGAACTGTCTATTCTCTCATTTCAAACTTGACCTTTATTGAATTCCCCAGAACAGAAGCGTCATTGAAAACTCAAAACCATGAAAGAATTCAAGGGCATGTTGCTCTGCACTATTATTAAATAAAGTATGAGTTATGGTTTCTATCTTAGCGTGTTGTGCAACTGCAGATAGCTGTGGCATATTCAGTAAGCCACAGCTACCATGTCTTGGTAATGTGTGAGATATTATTTTAGTGCCCTTGGTAGCATTTGAGCTGTGCTGAGCCTCGACAGGGTTGCTGGTTCTGCCTGCCTAGATGTCCTACCTCCTCTTTCCTCTGCTTTAGTTGCTAAAGATAGAATCTTGAGTTGAGAGTCTTCAACTGTAATGGTATGCTTTTGTCCATTATACTAAGGACTCAGAAGCTCCCTTACTCTGCTCACTTGTGCTGCATCCATGTTTGAAGTAGCTACACCACAACTACACCATAACAGCCTAGTTCCGTGAGCAGTCATAAAAACGTCTGTGTTGGGTGATAGTTCCATCTACTGGGAGCCCCTGGGAAAATGTCAAACTCAATCAGTGGAGCTATGCCAAGCCCCATTTACACGCCATTTATTTCTTTTTCTTTCACTGAATATCTCATTTCCAAAATATTTTAAAATTTGGAAAGAAGGATAAGGATGGGCGAGTGAATATGAATAAGTGAGCACCAACTACTGAAAATACAATCCATTCCTTTTAATCAAAGAAACCGAATGTCCTTTATCTATTCTGCTCTGAGTTATATAAGCCACGATTGGCACGCCATGCTTAGACACAAAAACATTGTATTTTGGCTTATTTTTATTCCATTCCTGCCAAACAATGAATGAAGTTGGACCCTTTTTGAAAGCTAGCTGTATAATGAGAGCAATAACCAATGTAGTTAACACAGAACAGAAAATATTTGCTCAGTAAACTTCTAAAAATGAATTCAATAAACCTTTCTATATTGTATAACTGTTTTGTGTTGTAAATGGATAATTTGAAGGTGCAGAATGTAGGGCTGTTTGGGAAAAGAGAAGAAGGAGGTGACAAAATTGAGTGGTGAAATATAATTTAGAAATATCACAGTTTTAAGGTTTTCAGCAAGTGTTTGTAATTGTATGATGATAAAGCTTAAGCAAAGTAGCTGGAACAGAGACAGGAATAGGTCCTCTTTCAAACTAAGGTATAATTTGTTTTGCTCTGCTTAACTTGTCATAGCATGCAGCTACTATATTATTTCTGCACCGCAAAAACTCATTAGAGTTTTCTGCTTCTCTTTCCTGCTATTCAGTGTTTGTCTACTCAGATTATGGTACATTTAGGATTTTGCCTTAATGCAGTATATAATTCTAACCAATTGTGGTTTGTTCATGGAACCTGGACAAACTATGGCCTGGTAAAATACATGAACCAAACTAAATGGGTCAGAAAAATAGACAGTTGTCCATTGTGTAATCATACTTCAGCTGGGTCCTGGGCTTTTTAAACTGATGGAAGAATCCTACAGCAAATATTTCGGTCTAAAAAAATGTAACATTTATCATATTGAAAACATAATTACGTAAAAGGGATTGATACAGAATATCTAATGAATTATAATTATTCAATATAATCTAGCAATACAGCCTTCCTTTGTTTAATCTAAGCTGGTACTTGTGCAGATTTCAGAGAGTTGAGTTGCTCAGGTAATATGTTGCTTAGCTGAACAATGTGTTGATCAGGAACAAAGCGTTTAGACAATGTTGATTTAAGAGGTCAGCAGTGTTGTAATCTAACTTATGTAGTAATATTGTGTTCTCCATAATGTTTACATTTCTTTGCAGGTTCTTTTCCTAACAGCTCTCAAGAGAAACATCAGCATAGTATGGCAGGCTCCTCTCAGCTTTATAAGAAAAGTACATTTCCTCCACTTTTGGACTCTTACTTGCCTCTTAATTGCCAGAATCAGGTAATGCAGGTTTTGCAATGTGACCATAATAATAATAATAATAAAGTTGGAAGGGACCTTGGAGGTCATTTAATCCAACTCCCTGCTCAGGCAGGAAACCCTACACCATTTCAGACAAATGGCTGTCCAGTCTCTTCTTAAAAACATCCACTGTTGGAGCATTCACCGCTTCTGGAGGCAGGTTGTTCCACTGGTTAATTGTTCTAACTGTCAGGAAGTTTCCCCTTAGTTCTAGGTTGCTTCTCTCCTTAATTAGTTTCCATCCGTTGTTTCTTGTCCTGCCTTCAGGCGCCTTGGAGAATAAGTTGACTCCCTCTTCTTTGTGATAGCCCTTGAGATATTGGAATATTGCTATCATGTCCCCCCTCGTCCTTCTTTTCATTAAACTAGACATACCCAATTCCAGCAGCCGTTCCTTATATGTTTTAGCCTCCAGTCCCCTAATCATCTTTGTTGCTCTTCTCTGTACTCTTTTTAGAGTCTTAGCATCTTTTTTACATCGTGGTGACCAAAACTGGATGCAGTATTCCAAGTGTGGCCTTACCAAGCCATTGTAAAGTGATATTAATACTTCGCGTGATCTTAATTCTATCCCTCTGTTAATGTAGCTCAGCACTGTGTTGGCTTTTTTGGCAGCTGCAGCACACTGCTGGCTCATATTTAAGTGATTGTCCACTAGGACTCCGAGATCCCTCTCACAGTTACTACTATTGAGCAAGGTACCCCCTTTACTATACCTGTACATTTGGTTTTTCTTGCCTAATTGTAGAACCTTACTTTTTTCACCATTGAATTTCATTTTGTTAGATAGCGCCCAGTGTTCAAGTCTGTCCAGGTCCTCCCCTATCTTAAGCCTGTCTTCTGGAGTGTTGGCTATTCCTGTCAGCTTGGTGTCATCCGCAAATTTGATGAGTTTCCCATCTATCCCCTCGTCCAAATTGTTGATGAAGATGTTGAAGAGCACTGGACCTAGAACAGAGCCTGGGTCACCCCACTACACACTTCCCTCCATGTAGATGTGGTTCCATTGAGGACCACACACTGAGTATGGCCAGTCAGCCAGCTACAAATCCATCTGGTGGTGATGCTGTCTAACCCACATTTTTCTATCTTATCGAGTAGTAGGTTGTGTTCTACTTTATCAAATGCCTTACTGACATCCAAGTAAATTATATCCACAGCATTCCTCTGGTCCACTAATTTTGTCACTTGGTCAAAGAATGCAATAAGGTTTGTCTGGCATGATCTGTTTTTGACAAACCCATGTTAACTTTTAGTAGTGATTTTGTTTGCCTCTAGGGGTTCGCTGATTCGTTGTTTGATTATCTTTTCCAGAATCTTCCCAGGTATTGAGGTTAGGCCGATAGGTCTGTAATTTCCTGTATCCATTTTTTTTCCTTTTTTAAACAGTTGCATTTCAGCTTTTGAGTTCTTTTTCCCTTTATAATAAAATTCCATAACATGTGTATCAGTCATTTTTTCCACTGTGAATTTGCATGGTAAACTTCATTACCTAGTTTTCCTGTAAATGTTAAGAATGAATTTGCTGTCTCCAAATCTCACTATAATCAGTGACCCTGATGGAAGGAGAAACACTGTGAAAAATAATCTGAATATTTTAGGAGGGAACAGTGCTTGGTGAGCTCAGAAGCTTAGCTTCCAGTTCTTTCATTCATGTACTGCTTATTAGATATACAGGTAGTGCTTGATTTATGATAATAATTGGGACTGGAACTTTTGTCACTAAGCCGTGTGGTTGTTTTGTGAGTTGTGCCTGATCTTACAACCTCTATTGCTATGATTGTTAAGTGAATCACCAAGGACATTAAGCAAATCACAGAGTTGTTGACGAATTAGGCTTCCGCGCTTGACTTTGCTTATTGGAAGACCCCACCCCATAAGGAGGTTGCAAATAGTGAACACTTGACCCCTGGATGATGCAACCTGAGGTTTATAAAATCTGACCCCTGGATGACTGTTCTTGTACTGTTTTGTTTTGTTATGTTTTATGTGTTTTTATTGTTAGCCGCCCAGAGTCCTCCGGGAGTGGGGCGGCTTATAAATTTTATAAATAAATAAATAAATAAATAAATAAATAAACCGTTGTAAATACTTTCTAGTTGCCAAGCACCCAAATTTTTATCCAGGACCATGGGGATGCTGTGACAGTCGTAGGTGTGAGGAGCGGTTGTAAATAGCCTTTTTTCCATGCTGTGGTAACTTCAAATAGTGATTAAATAAACGGTTATACATTGAGGACAACCTGTAATCACCAAGGGTCAAATTGCTCTTAATTGAAAGTCTTCTTCACTGGGTCAGAGTTCATATTATGGAGTCAAGCAGGAATTAAATTAAATCAAATTAAATCAAATTTAAAGGAATTTAATTTCAAAAAGACACTGGACAGCCATTTGTCTATGAAAAGTGGATTCCTGTACTGAGCAGAAGGTTGGACTAGACCGCCTAAAAGTCCCTTTCCAACATTATAATTTTATCTCTTAAGGTTAGTGTGATGTCTTCTGTTGAGGTCTTGAAGCAGCTTCACTTTCTAGTCAATTTAAGGTATTGCCACAACTATAAGTTCTGGGATTTTGTGTTTCCTGTTGTCTATGTTTAACAGTGGAGCTTCATTTCTGGCTCAGCTTTAATGTAGGCAAAATTGCAGAAAGCAAGATTTTTCCTTTGGTAAATGTTAAACTCTGCAGAGTTTGTGGGCAGTCTGTTTCCCCATTAACAGAATTTTTTTTTCTTCACTAGGCCTCCTGCAGGTCCTTGAAGGGGAAAAGCAGCTTGATGATTTTGCAAGGCCCCCTCTTCAGCAATCTCTCTAATTTTTATTCCCTATATATGACTAAGTAAATACAAAGGAACTTTTAAAAAGCAGTCAGCATTGATCAGGGCAATTTCTTATTCCTAAGAGTAGAGTGCATGTCTTGCACCCCTTTATGACAGCAAAGAGAGTTGAGGTAAAAATAATCAGAATTCTTCTGCTTCCTCCCCTTGTTTGCTTGGCTCCAAAGTAGCAAGCCTGTGTTTTTTTTTTCTTCTTTTTAATCGCTTTGTGGATGACGTGGAGGCTAGGAATTTATTTTCTTTTGTGTGGATAATGGGAAATGGTATTTTGCTAGGGTAGGGTCATCTCCCTCTCCCATCCCCATAGACATATCTTCAGACCCTTGCTCATGGGGCCTGGCTCTTGGTATTGTTTAGAAAACGCCTGTCCCTTCTCATGCCTTCCAGCCGCCACAGCAACATGCACCCATGGTTACAGCTACTGGGGAAAATGCCTGCTTGTAAAATTGTCAGCATGCTATCTTTGGATCATCACACTAGCAATCGGCATTTAAATGCAACAGGGGTACGCAGTTTTACAGTTACAGTGGCCTCTTTATAGCTACTGTTCAGACTTTTTGCAAATAGCCAGACAAATGTATACCATGTTTTGAAAATGTAGGGAGGGAGAAGTGGCAATTTATTTGATTTCAGATTGGAAAATGAAAATTCGCCAGCTTGTTCAAAAACTCTTGCTTAGGGAAGGGCAGACCCCAAATCTAATTTCCTTTTTCTGGGACAACCCTTCTACCTGCTTTAGCCACATATCTTTGTATCTACACGAACAAAAAGCTTGTTCTGAATTTTATGCAATATGAAGAAACAGTTGAAGGCATGTTAGCCCTGCAAGGTAGCTCAGACCAGAAGTTCAACCAGGAGTCTAAACTCTTTCTTGATTTTAAGGTTACTTTAACAGACTCTTGTAAGACTGAAAGTATTTCTCCCCTCCTTTATTTTTATTTTCCTGAAAACTGGGGAGGGTCCCTTATGAAATGCTTCCCATGTTCCTGTTCCTTCTGTGGGCGGAAATATCTTTTACATGCCAGTTCTCCAATCTGTGGCTTTGCTTCCTGTTTGCTGAGGTCATTCCCACATACCATTACAGGGGACAGGGAACAGAGGCTTTATTAGTAGAATAATCACATTTGTGTCCTTAGTAAAATTCTGTTATTTAAGTGGGTCAGCTGCCATGTAAAAGGCTCAGTTGAAAGCACTTCTGAAGCATGATGCATTAAGTATGCACTAAACTTAAAGAAGCAATGTAAATATTGTTTTAAGTACTACAAGAAACCTGGGAAATCATAGGACAGGGAAAGGGAACTTCTGACACTCAGATCGTGTAATACAAAATTCATGTGTGCGGAGAAGTTTGGTGGTATAACAAAATGTTAGTATCCATACTCTTGATCAGGTGTCTCCAACCCGTGGCCCGCAAGGTGCATGCGGCCCTAGTCAGCTGTTAATGTGGCTCCACAAGATTGTAAACTTGTAACATTATTATGTGATTTATATATATTAACTATATTATATATTTTATATGCTGCCCAAGACAATTTCCTTTCACTCAGGGTAGCACAGGCAAGCCAAAAGGTTGGCCACCTACTCTGTAGAGACTACCCTTTTGATATGTCAGAGTTCAACATACAGCATAGGTGATGTGGAAATTGTAAAAGGATAAAGAAAGTTTCTATGTACTACAAAGGTATATGATATTTTGATACCATGATTGTTGAGAGTAGAAGCTTGTGTACTTTTATAATCCTTTTTCTTTTTACCATTAAAAGCTAATGGTATCAATCAACCTAGAAACGGATGATATCAATATATCTGTCCTGGCTTCTCAGAGCAATTAAAGTAATCTTTGGAAAGTTTTAATGTGCATGGGGACAGGAAAGTGATCCTTGGGGAGCACCTTGAAATAATTAATGAATGTCTTTTAGTGGCAGATCATCTTCGAAGCAAAAAACGATTTGCTAGAAGTACAAATTGTATGAAAATGAAAATACCAAGATGTCAGCATATGTCATATATAATATTCCCATAGTAACAGGATGATAAATATAGCCATTCATTGCAAAGTGTGGAGGAAGGATGCCTACAGATCCTATGTATGAATATTAAAGATAAAGCAGAAGTTATGAGTGTAGTAGCAGTAACTATGATCTGGCATCTAACTCTATAAATGATTAGACATTAATTCTTCTATATCTCTTTGGTATATTACAGATATCAATATAGCAGCTTGCCATTCTACATAAAACCATGTTGATCTGCCCAATATTAAAATTTGTAAAATTTTTGCAAATAATTCCATTATTTTAAAAAAATATCAATTTTATTATTTGGCTTTTGAATTATGAATGTTGTGTGTTTAGGTATCCATCAGAGAACAGCCTTTGTTTTAGATTCTAGAGCTAAAATGGTTAAGAGGGAAGTGATATATGGCTGATATCTTTCCACCCTGCTCTTTTTTCTTCTTGACTTCATATTCACTCACAAAACCGTTTTCAATGTCCTGCAGACTCATGATCGTGATTTATGACTGATCTATTTATTTCTGGTTTCCTTGCAAAGTTCACTTAACAACTGCCCCAACAAAGGTTGTAAAATTGGGCACGCTCAGGTGGTGACCCGCTTAATGACTACCGTGACTTATGAACATAATTCTGTGCTCACTTAAATTTGTAAGCTCCGCACTACCTGTGTATTTATCACGGACAATACAACTAAACAACTGAGGATACACATTGAGCGAGTAGGTTGAGATATTGCAGTTTTACTTCTTCCCTCTGGAAAAATCTTGCCCGTGGCAATGCAGATAGTCCTCGACTTACAACAGTTCATTTAGTGACTGTTCAGAGTTACAACAGCACTGAAAAAAGTGACTTATGACCATTTTTCACACTTACAACCTACACTGCAGCATCCCCATGGTCATGTGATCAAAGTTTGGACGCTTGGCAACTGGCTCGTATTTCTGACGGTTGCAGTGTCCTGGGGTCATGTGATCATTTTCTGCGACCTTCTGACGAGCAAAGTCAATGGGAAAGCCAGATTCACTTAACAACTGTCACTAACTTAACATCTGCAGTGATTCTCTTAAGAGCTGTGGCAAGCAAGGTCGTAAAATGGGGCAAGACTCACTTAACAAATATCTCAGCAACAGAAATTTTGGGCTCAATTATGGTCGTACATTGAGAACTACCTGTATACATTTCTACATCTAAATACTATTTAAGCTGCAGCAGCACTATTTGTCTTTTTTGATGCTGGGTCCTTGTGTTAAGAATATTCGTGCTTCTGGTTTGGATTTATGAGCCTGTACCCTTACCTAAGAAGGATTGAATACAGTGAATTATAGCCTTTTATAATTCCATTGTATATTTGATATAGTGAATGTTAAGTGAATGTCTTAGTTGTCCAAAGGTTTTTACACACATACGGACACAAACATATATACACACACACGTGCACACATATACACTACTGTTGCTTTTGTTGCGTTTGAGGCTTTTTGGTATTTTGGTGGCTTTTTAAACTCTGAGGCTTTCCACAAGTAGATTTTTCTGGGAATTGCCAGGATTACGCATGTTTGCAGTGTGTCCTAGGCAGCAAAGAATTGCACACAATGTGCAGGAAGTTTTTGCCAGCTTGAGCAATGTTCTTTTTAAGCAGGTTGGTTCTCATCCAAAAAGCAGTATTTTATAAACATAGGAAAGCATATTACATTTGGAAGGATATCACACAATAATTTGTCTTGACAGCATTTTCCTTTTGCTTGCTGTAAGTATTTATACTGTTTTCTGACCATACGTTATTGCATAATCTTTGTACATATAGAGGAGACACTGATGTCAAGTTTAATCTCTAGTTTAGCAAACTACTTTTGCTTGTCAGATGCTTTTAAAAAGTTTCATAATTTAAAGGAATTGCCGCAGAATTAATGGTTCCCTTTAAAATGCATTTTATTTGAACACAATGCCTTAAAAATGATATTGGTGTCTAAAATTAGAGTTATATACAAAATTCACATGGTTCCTTGCTGACTCATTTATATTCCAGATATTTCATGTTTTTTTGTTATTTTTCCTTCAACAGGTATTGGGAGGAAAAATGAAGTCCTTTGCAATCACTACTACTTAGTATCACAAGCAAAGTTAGGCTACCAGCATTACAATTTATATGGGCACTATTTAATTGTGCCAGTAGCCTTCCTCTTTATTTCGAATACCGAATAATAGAGTTGGAAGAGACCTTGAAGGTCTTCTAGTCCAACACCCTACTCACCCTATACCATTCCAGACAAGTGGCTGTCTAGTCTGTTCTTAAAAGTTTCCAGTGATGAAGCACCCACAACTTCTGAAGGCAAGGCGCTCCACTGGTTAATTATTCTCACTGTTAGGAAATTTCTCCTTAGTTCTAGGTTGCTTCTCTCCTTGATTAGTTTCCATCCATTGTTTCTCGTCTTGCCTTCTGGTGCTTTGGAGAATAGCTTGACTCCCTCTTCTTTGTGGCAGCCCTTAAATATTGTAACACTGCTATCATGTCACCCTCTAGTCCTTCTCTTCTCTAGACTAGTCATACCCAATTCCTGCAACAGTGCTTTGTATGTTTTAGTCTCCAGGCCCCTAATCATCTTTGTCATTCTTTTCTGCACTCTTTCCAAAGTCTCAACATCTTTTTTGTAATGTGGTGACCAAAATTGCACGCAGTATTCCAGATGTGGTCTAAGGCTTTATAAAGAGGTACTAATACTTCGCGTGATCTTGACTCTATCCCTCTTTAGTGTGATCAAGTTAAGAAATGCAACCGGCAGCCACACATAGATTAAGAGGATCTTTAAAACAGCAATTAATGTTCTTTATGGGATTTTGTTTTGCTTGGCTCAGAACAGAGCAAATTGGCAAAAACCAGAAAAAGACAAAAAGGAGCAGATAAGGAACAACAGCCGTCTTTTAAGTGAGGAAGAAAAGGATGAACTCCTCAGGCAAGCTCTGCTGGAAAAGGTAATGTGCTTGGACAATGGGAGTGATGATTTTTCTCCACTAAATGTATTTTGCCATTTTAAATATGACTGATAAATAAATACATAAATAAATATTTCCCTGAGTGTCTGATTCTATAAATAACCTTACTTGGTTATCTCAGTCTTACCTTAAATCAATTTTCAAACTTCATTTGCTTGGCATAAATTTTAGAATAGCATTCCTGTATATTGATTGGAGATGATGGAAATTGGGATCCAGCATATCTGGAGGGCATCAGGTTGTCAAAACATAGTGCTTAATATTTTCGAGGTACCTGAATTGCTGAGAACATGCTCTAATGCTCTATGCAATCTCACAAGGTGAATCACCCAGCTGTTTATTGGGGGAAAAAAACACATTCTCCCTGGATGGCCTATAAGATCTATTACTTGTCATTTGGTTCCAACATCCCCTCCTTTATGGGAGCTGCTTGCTGATAAGCTGATATTACATGCCTTGGAAAATGTGTAAAGAACTCCAAATGTGGTTTCAATAAACGCGGTTACAAATTAGCCATGAGCTTTACCTGTTTCTAGCCAACAACCACCGTGGTATTTGAAGTGTAATTTATGTAATGGATGCAGTGCTGGTGGAAAAGGAAGATGGAATGCAGAAAGGCTATTTAAAAGAAAAAGAAAAATTAAGTAAGCCTATAGTTTTCCTGGTGCCTATAGGAACTGCATGGTGGAAAGGGTGGAATAGTTTCAGCTGCTGAAGAGTTCAAATACATATTGTCTACAACAGGGGTGTCTAATCATGGCAACTTTAAGACCTATGGACTTCAGCTCCCAGAATTCATGGCTGATTGGGGAATTCTGGGATTGAAGTCCACAAGTGTTAAAAGTTGCCAAGGTTAGGCACGCCTGGTCTACACATTTTGCTTATATACTGTGTATATAAGAATTAGAGTTACAGATCCAAGATGGAACTAAAGGAAGATTTTAAATATTTGATTGAGAAATACTGTACAAATATTAACAGCTTTTCTCCAGTCTTCTTGCACTGGAGTTATTTCATATCCCTGGAAAATAGTACTGATAGTACTATTAAAAAGCAATGGCTTCATTTCAGAAATAAAGAGGCAAATCTTATAATGTTTCTGGGGGAACTGTATGGATGTGTTTATGAAGTCAGTGAGATTTAATTCCCAAGATTTTACTTTTTTATACACTTTGACTTGGGTTGGTTTTTTTTAATCCTCTCTATTGAGATGGCTCTCCATAGCACCATCTGTTGGTGGATCTTCATAATGCTCAGTGTTTATTACTTCCAGTACAAAAAGAGTATCTTTTCATTCTGCAATTGTTAAGCATAATGCATGTGAATTCATCGTGTAATACATAAGTTAATTTACTACCACAATGATAGATGATGCACCAGTAATATGGAATTAGAAAGCAATGTACGCTATTATGTGCTGAAAGTACAATGTTAATCCTACCTAATTAATAATATTTGTTGAAAAGTGAATGTTGTCTTACAAACTTAATGGATAAACATACCTGTAATAGCAAGTTTTGCAAGGAAAATAATTGTGTCTGTTGAAATAACGGTATAATAATACTGTTTGAAATATATATGTTGTGATGTTACAATCTGTTTAGCATGCAGCTTGACTATGAGTTCAAGTTAGCTGGGCTAAGTTGAATTATTGCTGTAGCATAAAGTGAGCATGATAAGAGATTATATTGCTGTGAAATGATGCACTTACACATTAGGGCTAGTCAAAATGTAATTAAAAGATGCAACACTAGGTGGCACTGCTGAATTGTACTGTGCAGCCAAGCACTCTCAAGTGTAAGAGAATAAGAATTAGGGTGGTCCATATTTCTTGGAATGTCTATGTGGATATTCTCAACCATCCAGCTCATGGTTTCCCAAAGGTAACTGGACTTTATTGGGGTTTTTTTCTTTGAAAATAAACAACAACAAAAAATCCCCCAAGAAAATCCAGTTGCCTTTTGGAAAATCAACTTTGGGATATCTTTTGGAAGAAATTTGTGTAAGGCCAGCATTCTGGCTTTTAGGCAAGCCTGAAAAAAGATGTGTGTGTTGACCTTTGATGAGTAAATTCTTTAAAAGTATGGCATCCTTTTCTTTTATACTCATGCTAACGCCTGAAAAGTGCTGAGCTGATTTAAAGAAAGTGCTGTGATTATGGGAAGTTCAGTACACTTTTTCCAAATCATTTTCCATGTGTACACAGACTTAATAAGAATATATTTGCAATAAATTACATTTTGCTGTGAAAATATGGTATGTCTGGAATGATGTTCTTATAAAAATGAAATGTTCTTATTAAAAAGGTTATATTAAAAGAACAACTTTATAGAACCTGCTTTGGAAATTCAGAAATTCAGAAAACAGTTTTCTGAATTAGCTGAAGAAATGTTTAGGTAATCTCTTAAGAAAAAATTATGGTATTGGTATTAATTGAACATTCACACTATTTGTTTTCCCTGCAAGAATTTCCAATTATAATGTTTCCCATCCTTTTAATCAAGCATCATCTTGAAACCTACAAGAATCTTTATAAGATAAGAAATATCTTATATGAACGCTACAAGGCTTTATTGAATGAGAAAGTGCTAAAGCAAAGAATTCAGATCAAGGCATTTGATCTCAGACAACAACAACAACTTAAACACAAAGAACAAAAGGTATGTGTTCAGTGGGGGGAAAATGATCAAATCAAGAACGGAACTAGAAAATTCACATTTAATCATACATACGTTTTAGAGCTTTTATTAAAGTTTATGTGAGCATTATTACAAGTATTTTATGTGTGTGTACAATATCTACAATTTTGCAAACTAGAATAATGTGTGTGATGCATAGTCAGAACACTTTGCTGAACAGTTAGCTGATTGCCAACAGAAAATTGTTGAGAAACGCAGTGTTGTCAATTACATGCATGGAAAAAGTCCTTTCAAAGTTTTACTGAAAGTTCAAATGATGTGCAAAGATGAGAAAGAGCTGAATTGTAAGCGCATAGACAATAGGATGTGTAAAGGTTAAGAAAAGGAATCAAACATTTCTAGAGTTCAGAAATTCCATTGACATATACATGTGCTTGGATATGTGTTAAGTTGGCTTTTAGGATTCCAGTGGTGCAATAGAAAAATACTTTATGGCTTAGGTTCTATTTCTGGATATATTAAATAGTATTATAGTCTATGTATAAGTTGTTGAGGTATCCTCTAATTCGCATATATATTGCATTATCTGTGTTGATGTTGTTACAATCTTCTGATGTCCTCGGATGCCCTAGAGTAGGGGATCGCAACCAGGCTATTGGTACAGCAGGCTCATACATTGCAACCGCATCCTCACTTGCGCGAGCAGCAGGTGAGTGCATGTGCATGCTCCATTTGCGTGAGCAGCAGGTGTGTGTGCACACCAGTTACACAAATGGAGCTGCATGCGCGCTTGCCGGCTGCTCACACAGAACCATCCCCTCCCCCCCAGTCTTCAAAGCCAGAAACATTGGAGAATTCTGCCCTAGAGGGGTACAGCTAGCCACGATCTCTCTCCTATTGTAGTCTAATTTATTTATCATCCAAGTTGTTCTTCACCATCTTTCCTGTGCACTATAACATCTTATGTCTGAATTAATATTGTAGCCTTTCTTGAAATAAATATTTTAATAGTCTTGAATAAAATATCTCTAAAGCAGACATGTCAAACTCACAATGTCACGTGACGTCACGCAATGTATCAGGCCAGTTTTGTCATTGCCGGTAATGGGGTGGGTGCAACTTCCATGTGACGGGCCGGCCCATGGGCCAGCAGTTTGACACCCCTGCTCTAAAGTATATGAGCTTTAGCAACCAATTGTTCCTTTAATTGCTGGTTTTAGTTTGAAACAGTGTTTTCATATATGCTTTTATCATTTTAATTGGCATTTGCATTGCTCTACTGAAAATACATTGATTTTTAATAGGTAGTTTCAAACAGCTATTTTAAATAAATTTGATAGGAGCACAAAGCTTTGATTGCATAGAAACATCTTATAGCTCTAGTTTGATTCCTTCATGTACCTGCAATAATACATTGCTCTAATTCAGAATTTCTACAGATTTTTATTTCTAATGCTTTTGCTATTTTTGCTTTTCCCAGTGATTCCTTGGTGTTTTGGGAACCAAGATTTTATATAAAATCTTTGGGATGGCTTAGGATAATAATAGGCCCCAAACAACAAATAAGGCATAAGGATACATTTAATATGTATAAAGATCAAACATAAATACATATCACAGTTCATCTCAATTTAGGTTCCCAAAAATTTAGTATCAGTCTAAAAAAGAGATGGTATATGCATTTAGTGCATTTAGTGCTTAGGGTTTTTATGTCTAAATAATTATCATTCTCTCAACATAAAAATTACATTATTTTGAAAGGGAAAGAAAAATTGCACATATGAAAACTATTTTTAAAATATTTTGAGTTTGAATATTTATATGTTTGTATAGCAGAAGATACATCTAAATAATCAGAGAATTAAAGTTTAAGAGAAAATCTTTTAAGTAATGGTTGAAATCATCGCATTCAACAATGGATGTGGATCTAAAATATGTTTTATATAACTTGAGTTTTACTTTTCTTTAAGAAAACAGTAAATTTTGCAGCATACAGTTTCTAACAAAGAGAAAATTATATGTTCTAGTTCTTTTTACTTCCACCTACCTTATTTTGTACGCATATTTAGTTTAGTGACAATACAAACTCTGTTTATCTCACTTAATGTTTCCTTAATATTAGTTTGAAAAATTAATTAGAAGAAACAGCTTGTGGCTTTAATACACAAAATTCTCAAAAATGTTTAAAAAAATCATGTTTGGTGAGGAATTAAACAGACTGGGATCTAAATAAAGAATTGTTCTTTTTCAGAAGATTTCTTCCTTCAGATTTCTCATTCTGCTTCTAGAAGAATTCAAAACACCTTCTGTCTTAAAACAGAAAAACAATGTGAAAGTAGAGATTGTTGTCTTATTAGCATGCTATTAATATGTGCATAAAATATAGTCTGTGTCTCAACCCAAATACACACATTGGGAAATCAAAGGGAAATCCTTCACACCTTTTGCTGGCTTCATCCTGAATTTTTTTCCCTCCTTAAACAACTTCCTTAAGAGAATTTCTTCTAAAGGACAGTTCTCCATATTTAACAAACGAATTCATCAATGAATTCTCTTTACAGCCATATGACTCATGAAGAACCTCCTTTAATTTTGTTGGTTTAATTAAGGTTAATGCCCAGAAGGGGAAAAAAAAACCTGAAACAACATTTAACATTCCAGACTTGTTTCAAAACATAACCAGGGTACATCATTTTAAAAGTAAAATTTCACATTATGAAATAATATTTTACTCCAATAAAAGGATATACTTCAATTACTTGTTGGAGAAATCTAAATGAATATGCAAAGAATCAGGCTGCCCAATATCAAAGGCCCACGGTCTTTGAACTTCAAAGAAAATTATTATGTCTTGTCAATTTATGCCAGTATGCTTGTGTTTTAAATTTTTCTTTGTACCCTGATGACTCACCTTTTCTTTCTGTTAATAGTCCCTAGGTAAGCTAACTCGTGGGATTCAGTATATAGCTTTAATTAAATTGTGTTTTTTTTTTAAAAGAAAGACGTTTTTGCAAGTATTGTGTAGCAAACTAACAATAAACATTGAACACACAGTATAGAAATCAAAATGAATGTTTATCAGTGTGTAATTTTGTTCGAGACAACTGCTATTGGAAAGAAAAGAGCAGGAAGAGTTTTCAGTTAGGAACTATAGGCTGTCCTCAACTTACGACCACAACTGAGCACAAAATTTCTATTGCTAAGCGAATGTTGCCCCATTTTATGACGTTTCTTGCCACAGTTGTTAAGTGAATCACTGCAGTTGTTAAGTTAGTAACACGATTGTTAAGTGAACCTGGCTTACCCATTGACTTTGCTTGTTAGAAGGTTGCAAAAGGAGATCACATGATCCCAGGACAGTAACCATCATAAATATGAGTCAGTTCCCAAGCATCTGAATTTTAGGTCACATGATCATGGAGATGCTACAACGATCATAACTGTGAAAAATGGTCATAAGTCACTTTTTTTCAATGCCGTAGAACTTTGAATGGTCACTAAATGATTTGTTGTAAGTTGAGGATTACTTATATTATGCAATTTCTTACCATGTAGCCTTACTCAGTTTCATTGTGATACCCACAGTGTTGGTGTACATGTTACGAAGGACTGCAGAACTTGTAACCAGATAAGCTTCCTTATTGTCAGAAGCTTTCCTTTTCACCTATATTTAAGATTGCTTCCCTGCCCTTTAAGACTTCTGACACTCCACTATTCCACATATAGTGAAACTGAACACATAGCCTTAAGAAATGGATGCCTCACCTTAATTTTTAGAAAGGCTGTAGCTTCATATTTGGGGAAGCTATAAACTTATATATAGAACTGCGGACAACAGAAAACATTTTAAAGCCCATATACCTCAGGTAACGTCAGTCATTTGTAGCAAAGTTTAACTGATATGAATGGAATAGATTTTCGGGGAATAATGATTGAAATGCTTAAAATAAACCTACCCCTTCTTTTACACTGTGCTAAAGCATAAGGGGAGAGTCAGTTTTGTATAGTGGTTAAGACACCAGGCTAGAAAATGAGAGACTTTGAATTCTTGTCCCAACCTAGGCCCAAAGCCAGTGGGTGACTTTAAACCAGTCACTTTCTCTTAGTCCTAGGATGGGAGCAATGGCAAACCGCTTCTGAAAAACCTTGTCAAGAAAACTGCAGAGCCTTATCCAAGCAGTCTCTGAGAATTGCACAAGATGGAACAAAAGAAAAACAAAAGTGTAGGGTTGTAAATCTCCTACTGGTCTTTAACTTCAAAGGTGAAAGAAGTCTACCTCTAGATTGCAGCTCTGACATATTAACCCAACTGAGATTTGTGTGGCTATGTTGATATTGTCTTTGCAACAGAAATCAAATCATATTTAAATTCAGAAAGGTTTTTATACATAATTATGCTTCTCTTTCCATTTTTAACTTTGATCGACTATTGTTTATTTTAATTCTTTTATAATGCTGTTGTATTAAGTTTTCATTGTTATGATCCTATCTTAAATTGTCTACAATATGGAAGAGCAGGATAGAAGTATTATTGTTAATAATACCTGTGATAAATATAGCTCTTCCCTGACTGTCAGTTTATCATTTAAAATTATCTGGGTCCACACATTATACAAAGACTTAATCATGGTTCCTTTAAGTATGTTTTATTGAATAAACCCCCCAATAGGTTTGTGTCTATTAAGTCAAAACCAGGCACTGGATCCCGTCATTTAAGCTTTGCTGTGTGTCTATTTCTGTGTCTTCACAATTTAAGATTTTAAAGTAAGTTTTCATACAACCCCACAAAGTTGTATGTTTGGATGCATCTATCTAAATTCAGATCTAGACAGATTTTGGAGGATTGAAACTATCTTTCCACTAAAGAGAAGGATCTATTTATGGAATTACTTTAAAATAATGAAGAATAGATGTTGCTCAACCTGAAAAGTTCCACATCATGTGTGTTAGAAGCTGAAAAATAGGTTAAGTATGCCACTAGGAATTGCTGCATGCTTATTCTTTGAGAATGGCGTTCTGTTAGAAAGCTTATTAAATCTGCTTATTAAATCTACTGTCAGAAGCTATGTAAAGTAAGAAAGCAAAACACTTCATAGTTGTATCTATGCTGGGTTTTTTTTTTTTTTAATTTTATCTATTTGTCTTGACGGAAAGAGGATATCTGTTGTCACAATACAGCTGAGCTAGACAGACCTGAAATGATGATGAAATGCAACTGTTCTTTATATTTGAATTTCAGTAATTTTATTGGTACTATAAAGTTTTAAAGTGTGAAGATAACTAAAACAATCAAGCAGTAGTAAAGGGCTGTCATGTTCCCTACATGGGCTTACTTTATGCTTTATAATCTGCTGTATTCTTAACAGTGACCTGTTTCAAAAGGAACTGCCTTTAATAAGAGAATAGGTGTTTCCTTTATAACATCACTAAACCAATGCCTAAATTAAAGGCCACTTTACTTATTTTAAAAAAATAATTAGCATGATTTGTAGAATTCTCAGTTTAAAAAAAACCAAGGAAGATTATGAACTGATAAACTGAGCCAAATTCTTATTTTAATAAATAGAAAGACTTGAAATAGCTAATGGCAGAATCAGTTGAAAAGACCAAGAATCTTTTCTGTGAATTAAGAAGTGTCTAGTTTTGATAGGGTTAGAGCGACTCTGATAATCTGAAGTTTCATATGATATTAATATGTAGTTTTTCATGTTTTTGTAAAATACATCTGAAATGAAATACGTGAAACACTATATAAATATGAAGTGTATTGCTTTTACATATATATATATATATATCACACATATGAACAAATTTCAGTCTAGGGCAGTGATGGCCAACCTTTTAGAAACTGAGTGCCCAATAACCGCCCCCACCCAGCCTCCTGCCCTGCCCGCAGGTCCACCCATCACTGCTATATCCCACCGCAGCAGATCACCCAGGCGGTCCAGCAGTGCCATGGCTACGCCCTCCTCCCATACCCCATAGCATCATCTGCGCATGACGGAGCACGAGGGCGGAGTCTTGTTCCCGCTGCCAGGCTGCCATGTCCTTGACTGCGCTGTTCCATGCGGGCCATTCCAGGGAGCAACTCTCCTGCAGGGGGCTGCTGGTGAGGATGGGACCATGGGGGGAAGGCGGGGCTGGGGCAATGGCCTGAGTAACCACAGAGGGCTCTGAGTGCCACCTCTGGCACGCATTCCATAGGTTCGCCACCACTGGCCTAGGATTTACTGGAACAGAGTATGGGAGGATAATGTTATTATTCCTTTATTGTGGTTAGAAAGGTACTGAGGCTAAGTGAATAGTAGCTTGAAAACCTGATATATTGCAAATTAAATGTCAAAAAAACATGGTTGCAGTTGAGTCTGATTTGTTCCTGCCCATCACCGTAACTGACAATGGACTGGTTGGACCAGAAATCAGTTTCAGCCCATTTGAGGCGTTAAAGCAAAACACGGTTTCCTGCTATATCCATGTGTCTTGAGGAATCTCAGATTCCTCAGTTCCTCTGGAAGTTTCAAAATATTGGTTTTTAATGTAAATTAATCTCAGGGTTTTTTTTTTTTTTGGTGACTGAACTTGGGGATCTGCAGTTTGTTTTTCCTAAACTTAGCAATATTTCTTTTAAAGTGAAAGGAAATAGGACTGAACATTTTAAATTAATCCACACTGCTATAATCACCTCAACAACCTTCATGACACTCAGAGCTGATCCTGGTTTGTCTGGATCAGATGATTATGATGATAATCATAATTCAAGTAAATTAAAATGCTTTCAGATATCACAAGATACTGGCAAACTTAAAACCCAAGATGGATACTTTAGTATTAGAACTACCAGACCTGGCTATAAAAATTCAAACAATCAGTTAGCAGCAGCAAGGAAACTAATTTTTCTATACAACTCCTCTAATTCCCAGACAGAGAGGCTTGTAGTCTGAATTATGGGATTTGTGTCCCACCACCATTTGGGAACTTGGGTTAGCCTTTGAAAGACAAGGAGGATTCTCTAAAACAAATGATTTATTTTAAAATATCGTATTAAAGAATTCATCACTGAACACCAAATAAATGAAATAAGAGAAAGGAACGGCTAAACTGAGATGATGTTTTCTCCAAAGAGCAGATAAAAATTAATTAATTACTTTTTGGCCAGACGGTAGTTTGTGACTTCTGAAGACAAGAGGCTTGAAGGGGGATTGAACAAGACTATAAACAAATTTATAAGCCTATCAGCCAGAATACAAATTGCTGAGCGAATGAAAGAGGATGCTTCCTAAGTCTGTATTTGCGAGTCTTCGGTCAAAGCTGGGGAGGGCGGCGGGAGGGGTGGGGAAGAGCACCAGGCGGTCTTAAGAATGCCTGCTGAGTTCTAATTGGTGCCCACTGTGGTTAATGGCTTCCTGTGGCTGAATGTTTACTTGTCATTTGTTTTGAGCTTTGTTTCCCAGCTATTTGGAGAGAAACTTACCATTTTTAAAAACATCTTCTTTGATAAAAGTGTAGTCCTCGTCGTAAACTTCCTTTCTGCAAGCTGTCTCATGATACGAAGTACCTGGAGTCCATTTCACAGTCAAACAGCTACTGGGTAAGATGCCCTTCTCCATTTAGTTTTGCGGTTGCTACTGAAATGTTTTAGAAAATGTCAAATACATACCCTAGGACAAAAGACTTTGCTTTTCCCTTCAGAACAGTGGAATGGCTGCTTAAGGAATCAGCTGTGAAGCGTCCTGGCCTTCTTCCCTTTTTCCTTTACTCTTTAACAGTTCATTCTGTCCCTGTCACTAGCAGTCACATAAGCTAAAAAGCACCTTGTCAATCTAGCTTGAAGGCTTGGTTATCCATTCCAAAAGTAACTTCTAAACCTTCTTCCAGATACTCTAATTTGAAAAGCAGTTCAATTTACATTGACAAACCTTGGGCATTAAAACCCATTGTTTACAGCTAGTAATTATACTGTAAGTTTCCAATGATTACAATTTTCCTATTCTTCTCATTAAAAATTCATGGCTTAAAGGGTTTCCATCTACTCCAGCCTTAATCTTCCTGCCATGTTCTGAGCATGTCCTCCTCTTCCTCCAAATTGTTAGTTAACAATTAGTAGGGGAGGCACTTAATCACAAAGAAGTAATTATAAGATGCTATAATTTTAACCCTTTACCAGTACTGCAAAACTACTAAAAATAATCTTTAAATTATAATACAAAACAACTATAGAAGTAACAGAAGAAGTAAAGAAGTCTCTGGGTTTTATGCTGATCTTCTTAATGGTCTCTCCATATGGAAATTTGTTGTGTTCTGAATTACAAATAGATCCTAAGTAGTTACTCACAGCACTTCGTGAAAATGTATTTTATCTTCAGGACCTGTCTCATAATCTGCATAACTTTAAGTTCTTTCTCAAATGCAGATCTTAACTTTAGAATAGAAAAACACTCATAACCATGAAAAATATATTTCAGTCTGGGTACTGCTGGGATATATTTGTATGGCAGTATTAATTTTTCTGTAAAGTGAACGAACAACAACGGGCACAGTTTATTTATAGATAGCCAACATTATGTTTTAGCATTTATTCAGTCATTGTGGGCATCTGGCATTTTGGATACTTCTTGAAAAGTTTAGATTCATGAAGACTGATTACTGCTTTATTTAGCAAGTCTCGGGTTATGTGCTTATAGGAGACAATGGTTAATCCTACTAGAACATTTTTTTTAACTTTCCATGGCCTTGGACTGCTAAACCAACACCGAAAAACCACAAGGACCACCCAGTTAAACCAACTCTCTCTTTTTGTGTCTATGCTAGTTCCATTTTTAGAGAATAAATATTAGTTCACATTTTTTGGGGAATAAAATAATGGTTTTGACTGCATTTCTGTATGCCTTCTCATTCTCCTATTTTTTAAAGTATCTGTGATAACTACATTTCCTAGAAAAATATTTAATTCAAAAAAGTTTATCATTTGAATTATTTTATATATCCCATGCCATCATAACAACTCATAGCACACATTTACTGGTCAAGAATGTTCTTCAAAAGAAATCCCTTGAGTTTCAGGCCACAACACAATGGTGATAGTCAACACAATGAAATCCCATTTTTAGGAACTCATCTAATTTCATATTCACTTTCCTTTTTGAAAAGTTGCTGTAAGATCACAGTTCTATTCAGGATGGGGGGATGGGTAGATCTGTTTACGATCAGTCCTCTGGATATTAGCACTTACCTTAGTATTTGTATTATCACTTGTATACTTCAGTGAACTAGTTCTCAGCTCCTAATCCATGCTTGCAAACTAGCTGACTACCAAGGAAGTGGGGGAAAGAGATGGCAAGGGGGCTTAAATAGGATAGGCTGTAGTAGATCACTGGTGGTTCATAGACCAAGTCTGAGAATCATTGAACTATATATAGTTAGTTGGGTTGATTTTATTTGGCAATAAACATGTTCTTGTACTAATGCAGTTCTAATATGATTGCAGTTGTTTTTTGGCAGGATCTTTTGGAAAAACCAGATATATTATGGGAAAGGTGTCCAACCTTACTTTTGAAAAACTGTTGTTTCTGCAGAAATCACAATGACTATGTGCTCTTGTCTCAGGATAGTACTCCAGAACCTTCACTTTCACTTGGCGTGCATTGCCTCACTTATAAAGACATTGGTGCTTGATAGAATAAATCTTATATTTCATATGGATGCTCCTTAATTAATCACACATATTAAAGAACTGTTTTTCTTCCATTCCTGTGTTTAAGGTTACTGGATTGCAGAATGAACTAACTAAACTTGGAATTATAAAGAACCAGCAAGATTATGAAAGCTTTTGGAAACTTGCTTGGGAGGATGTTCCTGGCTCAAAGATCAAGGAGAAGCTTCCTGATATAAAAGCAAGAAGCTGAGTATCTTCATAATTTCTGGAAATTGGAATAAGATTCATCTCTGCAGCAAAAGCAGACACCTATTGTGTTTATTCTTTTACTGACCAATATTTTAAATAAGGGTATCGCTCATAATCTCACCGGCAAAGTGGCACCTAGGAGATGAGAAATATGGGATAGGCTATAGATATTAGCAATTTCATTTGTCCAAGTCATGTCGGGTGGGATATTATATGAACTCCATACATATATACAGGTTTTATGCTTTTCCAAGAGCGATTTCTTTCTTTTACTTGGAAAATCACTAGACCTATTTTTCTTCTATTAAAAAAAAAAGTCTGGCATGCCAGACAGTTTAAAGTGAGAAAAAGAGGTAAGTTGTACCAGTTGTTGATTTTTCCACCTGTGAATCCAATATAGGCTTTCCGCTGCTTCTGCTAATACATTTTCACGTGGTCTTATTTTTTTTTCACAATTTTTGTTTGTTGGATAAAGACAGTACATTCTAAAATCATTTTGCTTATTTCTTTGAACGCTTACAGAGAATGACTTGTCACCAGCATTAACATTTCCTTGAACACTACTAATTTGAGATATACCGTATATTCTGGCGTATAGGGCGACCCGGCGTATAAGACGACCCCCGAGTTCACGCCGGGTCGCAAGACGATCGACGCCAAGTTGCATGCCTAGAAAGTCATCTTATAAGCCGGAAACTACCTTATTTCCGTCATATAAGACAATTGACGCCGAGTTGCATGCCTAGAAAGTCGTCTTATATGCCAGAAACTACCTTATTTCCGGCATATAAGACGACTCGGTATATAAGACGACCCGCGAGTTCGGAGGCTGTTTCAACGCTCTCAAAAGTCGTCTTATACGCCGGAATATACGGTACAAGATTTGGGGTCTATTTCTTCTTTTAGTTATGTGGTAGGAGGTTATAGCTACCATAGAACAACTTGGATGAAAAGAGAAGGAGATAACCTAATGTCCCTCACAATTTTTCCAGCATGCTAGTTACTAAGTTTCTTTCTAAATATAGATTTAACCATTTTCTGGAAGTCTATTAAAGTTCTATACAAAATAGTCCAGCTAGCCAGAAATTTGGGTGAAGGGGGCATGGGATGAAGTGGGAGGCGGATCAAGAGCTCTGGGGATTTGTTATTCAAGCAACCTGAAAGTGCTTAATTCTCAACAAACTCCTTCCATGAACCACCTAGCCTTCTATGCCCCAAGCCCTGGAGCACATTTAAGTCTTCAACACTTCACAAATGTCAGCAGATTGAGGCTAATCTAATATCTGGTTTTCCAGAAAGCAGATAGCGTGACACAAAATGGATGCTTCCTAGGTCCCACTGAAAAACACAATTAGTGAAATTTGTAATAAAACTGTTGTTTTATAGGAAATGTTCAGCTAATTTTTTTTCTGCTAAATTTAGTTATGCTATTTACATCAGAGCTTCAATATTTGCTTTGTGTTTTCAATCTCTAGTGTTTGCTGCTAAATCTTTACTTTTCTCTACTTCAACTGGAATCAAGCCACTCCAACAAGTTAAAAGCTTTCCAAACAACAGGGTGAAAAAAGTAAGTATATTTTAAAAATCTATTTATGACCTTTTTATTTTTGAATGCTCTGTTTTACTTTAGGAAATTTGTACTTTTCAATAACAAAACAGTTGCGTAATTGTTTTTCGACTACTTAATTCAGTTTCATACAATGAGCAGCTATCTTTAATCTGGTCCCTTCTAATAAATTGAGTCTATTACCTCCCTGCTTAGAGAAAGCTGCAATAAAGGATGAATGAAGATTGCTATCACAAAATGTTTCTTGTGAAAAAGACCCAGTGAGTCATTTGCTCTTGACTTAGTACTCCATATTTATATATCTCTGAAATGCCATCTGTTGCAACTAATTTGCAGTAGAGTGATGGTATCATCTAAACTGAAGCCAGTTTTGTACAGTGATTTTTCACAGTATATAGTTTTTGAAATACTTACGCTGAATGATACATTATTAAGTTTCTGAGTAAGAAATGGTGAAAGGGAATAATATACACTGTTTAGTTTTATTTAATTTTGTTAGCACAAGTAGGCCTATCCCAATATAAAGTTTTAATTAATATTACAAACAGCTCAAATGGAGAAATGCAGTAGACAAATAGTTGGACAGGGTTTTCTTTTTTAACCTGATCAGGTTTCTGTAGGCAAAATAAGAATATACTGTAGCAGACATTCTCATTTGGGCTTTGCCCATGTCGCCAGGGCAAGGCCATAATAGCAGTAATTAGTGTAGAAGTTTAAGAGCCCAATAAATAAATATAGATATGGGTTATATTTTCATTATTAATACGATATATTTATCACTTGCCCAACTCTAACACCAATTGCTTCATTTTTATGAAGGGATTATTCAAATTCATTTTTCATTTTAGGAAGCCAGTCGTGATAATACAAATCTTGAGGACCACTGTGCTAAGGTATTGCATTTTTTAAAAATAAACAAATAAATAAATAGATTCTAGAATGTAATGCCAGACTTTGCCTTCAGTATGTGCATTTGTTTCACCTAGTAAAATCTGGTTTGTGTAGGGAAGGGGTTTGTTTTGTTCATTTTAGACACATTAACTTTGTTAATGTTTTTTGGTAAGCGATTTACTTTGTGATTTGTTTGGATAAGAGATTTCTTTTGTTCTTTTTTGATCACATTATATAAAGTAAAACAAATCTATATCTCACCTAAGAATTCCATCAATTTCTCCTGAATTATTTTCTGACAGCATAGTAAACTCAGGATTGGCTGGTATTTATAGCCATAGAATATGAGCCCTTTTCAAAAAGTTGATCCGTGAACCTATTTAGCATTATATCTATGCTAAGTGAAGAGTGAAGTTATGTTGAGGAAAATTGAACAGGAAAAAGACAATAATACACCTGTACAAATTTGATTTATGTACAAAAAAATTATGAGCAATCATGATTAGTAGGTTACAGTGAAAAAGGTCAAATCACCATGATTAATGTGTTTGCAAATAATTGGAAAAATAAAAAGTGATTACAAAAAAGAGGAGAGACTTTGAGAAATATGACAGAGCCTGAAATGGTTACTAATTTACGTATATAAACTGTTGCTGAATATGACACAGAGAGTTAATAAATTAAAACTGTATCATAAAATGGATGCAAAATTTGAGAGCAGTAATTTACAATGAACCAATGGAAACAGCTATGGGGAAAAAAATCACTTAAATTTACTCCAAGCTACAATTTAAAAGTTGTTGGTCAACATATAACTTTTAATTACAGAAACAATAATTATTAATAAAAATAATAACAGAACCACTCAGGATCATTCTATGAGTGAGATGGGGAGTTTCTGCATTTGACAGATATAACAATAGCATATATCAATAAATATATAAATAATAATAATACACCATCAAACATTAACGTTGCCTATCCCAGGTTCTTGGGAAGGACTTGATAGATGAATAAAAATGCCAAATTCAGTCTGAACGTATGGCTGACTGTGCGATGAACCATAATACAGGTATAAAATATTCTATCGATGGTATATACCTCCATCTATAGTTGCCAAGATAGATAAAGCACATAACAACAAGCTTTGGAAATGTCATAAGAAAGAAGGAACATGAAGGTGAACGTTCGTTCTCTGAGCTTGTGGGTTGATTTCCAAATGTTTGTTACTAGGCTAGGTAACATCTTCAGTGGAATTCAGCTTTATTAATGTGTTGATTATTAAAGTTCAGTTTATATCTTCAGCAGAGATATAAACAGAAGGACATTGACACTGACATGAGCCGAGGTGGCGCAGCAGTTAGAGTGCAGTACTGCAGGCCACTTTAGCTGACTGTGTTCAGCAGGTCAGCGGTTCAAATCTCACCGGCTTAAGGTTGATTCAGCCTTCCATCCTTCCGGGGTAGGTAAAATGAGGACCCAGATTGTTGGGGGCAATGTAAATATATATATATATTGCTTACTGGTGTACACCACTTAGAGAGTGCTTGCACTTAAAGCGGTATATAAGTCTCATAAATAAATAAATAAATCCCCTAAACTTCGCTGAAGATGTTACCTAGCCTGAAAACTAAACGTTTGGAAATCAACCCATAAGCTCAGACAAGGAATCTTCACTCTCATTCTACATCCAAACTCAGATATTCGCCACTCTTGCAAAGAAGGAACATGTTACCGCATGTAGTGTTCATACAAAAAACCCTCAAAACTGTTAGAAAGAAGTGAATCAAAAGAATCCATTTTAAAAAAAATGAAATGTGAACTGAAACCACAGATATTTCTACTAGGCATAATTCCAGAAAAACTAACTGAAAAATACTACAATTTACTACGATACATGTTGATCATAGCAAGAATAAACCTAGCACAATACTGGAAAAAAGATATATTGCCTACAATATCATTCTGGGAGTAAAATTGTAGAATATATCCAAGTTAAAGAAAATTCAGGCAAAAATGGCTCCAATTCATATACTGTATCACAGAGCAAGGCAAATTTAAATATCTGGAATATCCTTTTTAGAACTTAAATAGAAACAAACAACAATCCCTAATATTTGATGTAAAGTTCAAATAATTGAACTATGACCAATAGTGGGGATACAGATGGAAGAGAAAGGGGGATATAATGTATGGTTTATAATACTGCAGTATATTTTTGTTTTTTACAATTTAAATATGGTAGATTTTTCTTATCATCTTGCTTTTTTCTTCTTTTTTCTACTTCCTTCACATTGCAGTATTTGCTTGAAAAAATACTCTTTGTATTACAACACTTTAATAATCAACCCATTAAAAGAGATGTAGAAGATTAGATCATCTCTTTTATTCCTGGTTCAGTAGTTTTGGAAGATTGTGATAGGTTTTAGGTTACATAGGAAAGAAATTAACAATACTTTTTCTTCCTTGTAGCTACAGTATTCAGTTGTATATAAGGCCAAGGTAAGATTTGAGAAAGCTACCCTTGGCCTTTGATCAGGGCAAAAGAAAGGTATGAACCAGAGAAAGATTCTTCAGGCACTCGTTCAATTTGATTGGTCTTAAGCCAATTATGAAAGATTTTCATGGCTGAATTGAAAAAAAAAAGCTCATTGATGCTATCTGCATGAGTTGGGGAGCACAGCTACAGAGTCTTACGATGAATCTTTTTTGCATGCCCCCTACACCTGGTGCTTATAAGCATGTCACCTGTGGTGAATTAGGAGTAGTAAATAGATTGTTAAATGACTATTTGATTAATATAATGCACTGCAGACTTAATTTTTCATATTTGTCTATTCCAAAGGTTTTCCAAAGTGGTCCATATCTACCCCCATGGGTCGATGGGACTATCTATTGTTGTTGTTATTATTATTCAAAGTAATATTTGGTTAAAGTATCATTTATTAAATTATTTTCATATAATGTTTGGGAGTCACTGAACAATCTGAAACTTCATGAAGAGGTTGATGAGCTGAAGTTGGGAACCCCTGTTCTAATCCTTTTGACAAATGTATCTAATCTATCTGCATGTGGAAAGCACTTTTTATGTCAATATACAGGGACATCAGTCTGAGGTGACCCCATGAACTCTCATCATTCAGAATGATACCAAAATGCTTTACTTTGGGTTTGAAAGCAAAATCTTTTCAGAATATGCCTTGGAAATTTTCCTGTAGATGCCTTCTAGTTGACATCTGTAATTGTTCCCCAAAGGAGGGAGGATTAGTGGAGATGTCACCAAACCGTTAGGAGGCCCTTCTTGCCTTTCATCCCGCCCCAGTCAAAGGTAGGCCACATGGACCCATGTTTGCCTGGCCTAAAATAAATATATCTTGGCTGAATCCTTATTACTGTGAGGCAGAGTGAATCAAGGGAAATTGTTCACATATATGTGAGAGAAATAAAATGGAGGAATGAAAAAGCACCTTTTCATACATTTGAATAGCCACTGTTTTTGGGGACTAAAATCAAATGCATTTCATGTTATCATTTGAGAGATAAACTCTTCAAACTAATTGACGCGTTGGTGGAAATAATTAAGAGAAATGAGGCATTTTTTTTAATGATCCATCTTTATATGTTCATCTACCAAGATTTACAATTTTAGTTATGTTTTTTCTGAATTAATGATAATTAATCTACTATACTTACAGAGTTCGAACATAGTTGATTTATTTTCTTTTGTATAAGTAACTTTAAGTAGTAGAGCAAATAATAGAAAATGGATAAAAATGCAAACTAAAGATCATAGTTCCACATATTTCATATTGTATGCTACCGTAGTTATATACAGTATTTCAATAATATTTCATAATTGTAGAAAGAAACCAGTTAGCAGGGTTTTTTTTTATTTTGGAAAGGAAATGGGATGAGAAGGGAAATGACAAAAAATATGCCTGATAAACACACATATCCAATATCCTTTTTTCAGAATTAAGGTACGTTTTTTTGAAAAAAAGCCGTACATTTTTAAGATTGTTTAATGACTATTTTGCTATAATTTGCTATATCTTGTCTCTTGGTTCAGCCTTTCCCAGCCTATTTTTCTGCAGAGCCTTTGAGACTAGAAATCCAGTATAACCCAATTTATCAATTGGCTCCAATACAATTGGATATTTTACCAGAATAGATCAGAGTTTGAAGTATAACAATGTGTTTCCAGTAGCACCCAGTCAATATTTATAATTAACATTTCACAAAATCAGTAACTCTCAATTTTGATGTGTTTCTGAATTTGTTAATAGTAATCTGGGATACGCCTTAGAGATATACAGTTTGATAGTGATGGTGGAGAAGGATTCAATTAGCTAAAAAGGATTCTAAGATAAAACTAAGTTAGAAAATAATCCCAGCTTTGCAAATAACAATAATTAACTATGTAGACAAGTTAATTATTAGTGCAAACACTCAAATTTTAGTTTACAAATGTGACTCCCAAAAGAGAATATTTGGTTCCATGTATGATAAAGAAGCATTTCTCAGGAATGCAAGAAAATTATTGAATTAGACTAACAAGTTTCAAAACGAAATATAAATGTAAATTTGAGTTAGATTATGAGATTCATCATCCCGGTCTATGAGTTTAATGCAAACAGACGATACATTAGCTCTAATTCAGGTATCTGTGCAGAATCTTGACAACTTTTAAAAATTTATTTTATAGTGCTTGTATGACAAAGTGATAGATGTAAACAAAACTATATATGGACAAATGTTATGTTTTACCTTGTGCCTATTAATATCTTCACTATAATGTAATTCTTAATTGGACTAATGGACAGATTCTAGCAACATTGTGAGATGAAGTTTGGTTTCAATTGACTAGTCTGTATCAGATATAGACTTGCGTATATGTATATGTATGTATATACACACAAACACACACATGCTTACATACATGTGTGCATACTGTATATACAATTCAAGAGAACCAATGATAAAGAACTTAAATGTTTTCTACACAGTTGCCTTAAGGATATACTTCTTTGTGTGCCATCTGACCTTAGTTGTGAAGGTATCACTAATGATGTGCTAGTTGTCAAGGATGTATCAGCATGCTGCAGCTAACACCAATAGTATCGCTCACTCCAGTGCTGGCACACTTTGACTGCTTAGTGCAAAAATCTGTCACTCAAAAGATTCTGAAGGGATGAGAGACAAACCTAGAAGCATTGTTTATCTTACTGGGGAAATGCAATCCACGTGTGCTCAGAGAACAAGTGTTTTTTAAAAAGACCCAATCGTGTTTCAAGGTATATTGTGTGATTTGTTTTGTTCTGGCAATTGCTGTTGCCTTACTCACTGGCATTTCTTTCATGTTTTTAAGTCGAGAATGTTGATTTAGTGTCAGATTGTGATTTGTATATAAGCTGCAATGCATTTTGCAACCATGGTAAATCCAGATAAGGTAGAGATTGGGTTTGGATTTTTCCTTCTGAAAGAGCTGAGTTTCAATCTTGAGCTGATGTGTTTCTTGAGCCTAAACAATCAGGATCTTTAGAAGGTGCCAAGGACCAGAGAGACAATAGTAGAATTTCATACCCCAGAGTCATGTACCTATTTGTGAATCAATCAGATCTTGCAATATTTATTCATGATTTGGCTCCATCATGATAGTAGAAGGCTACAGTGTGAGCTATTAAAAAAAAGTAAGAGTATCCAGAAGTTTTGCTGGGTAAAAATTGCAGTAGTAGGGCTGCTCACTCATGCATAGTATGACTTGATTACTTGATTACACGCCTGTAATGAAACTGCATTGGTGTTCAGTTTTCTCCTAGATGGTGTCTTAATCTTTTAAAATAGCAAATGGCTTGGGGTAGGACTATCCTGGGAACTGCCTTTCTTATGAGGAACCTGTTTAGCTACCTCTGCTTATTTTAGTTTTTAGAAGGGTGTGTAGATCATTATTTTTTTTTGAAAATATTTTAACAGGGATGTTAATAGTTTGTTAATTAGCTTTCACATGTTTACTGTTCCTTTGGCTAACAAACTTCATTCTTCAATGGAAAGATGCAATACAAGCATAGTAAAGATGTTTTTCCATTCTGAAAAAAAGACTGGTGAGATCTTACATGAATATTTTGAGCATTCTCTCTTTCTTCCTCCAGGCCCCACTAGTTCACTTTTCTTTCATTGTCTTGCTTTCATCCCTTAATTCTGTTATCCCCATTTTCTTTTTTCAACTTTAATTCTTCCTTCCTGCCCCTAAAAAAATCTGGCTAAGGTTGTTTTTTTTTTTTTTTTTTTACTTATTTAATTCTTTGCTTCAGATTTTCTTCAGCTCCAAACTTGGCTTCAGCTTTTTATGTGTTCCTGAATTCCACCAAGCACAACTGTGGTTCAGTCCAGTCTGAGTTTGATAAATTTCAAAATATGTTCCTAAGCTTAGTGGGGAGCCTTTTCTTTTATTTCTTTTATTTTTCTTGTGCCTCCCGATATCATCTCTTGCTCTTCCTCGAGTCCCAAATCTCTGCTACTTTTCTGTATCTGCTGAAAATATTATTGCTTCACTGCTCCCATTCTCTGAAAGGATTCTTTGGGGCCTTAGTTTGCAGTTTGCTTTTCATATTGCCTTTTATTTCTGGAAACTCAGTTTTGCTCACCAGCTTTTTATACTTATTCCCAACCTATTTTCCCACTATTGAGTGTTCCCAAAGTCTCTGTTCCTCATTGCCTTACCAACTTTTTCATCTGTTGGTTTATCATAATCTGAGCCGTGGTGGCACAGTGGTTAGAATGCAGTATTTCAGACTAATTCTGCTGACTGCCGACTGCCAACAGTTCGATCCTCACCGGCTCAAGGTTAACTCAACCTTCCATCCTTCCGAGGTCAGTAAAATGAGGACCCAGATTGTTAGGGGGACAATATGCCGACTCTGTAAATTGCTTAGAGAGGACTGTAAAGCACTGTGCACTGGAATATAAGTCTAAGTGCTATTGTTATATTTTTTTAAAAAAAAAAACATTGAATACACACTTTGGAGACCCTTTGTCTCAGGTTGTCTTGCTTCCCTTATTAAATGTTGAGATTGCTTTAAAAACTGTGAGAATAATTTTCATTTTCTGTTACTGAAATCTTCATTTAGGGGATTTAGAACTTGGGCATCTCATGCTTTGATTGCACCATTCTTAAGTTTCCTATTGATAGTATATTCTATTCTGCAGATAACATACTTGAGGTCAGGTTTGAGCTGTTACTAGATATTCGCTTTTGGGGATTAGAATCAATAAATCGATGCATTTTGTTTAGTTCTATTTGTAAACTCTGTGTGTGTGAGAGGGGGGGGGAGAGAGAGAGGGAGAGAGAGAGAGAGAGAGAGAGAGAGAAGAACAGAAATTTATTGTTTACAATGTAAGTGTAAAATAGAAGTGTAAAATACATGTGCCACAGATTCAGGAAGAGTGATATGCTGTCCTCTCTTTGTTCAGCTGGGTTGTGCTTAAACTAAACAGCTTGTTGTAACACAGATGTTTGTAGTGGTAGATGTTCTGCTTTGGCAAAATCAGGGTGCAGCAACCTCATGACTTAATAGGAACCTTAGATTTGTGAACCAATGTGTTTGGAAAACAATTTCTAATTAATTTACATTTTACAAATGTTGCTGTTTTTTTAACAAAGTAACTTCCTTCTAGGACTTCCAAATTACAAATTTTAAACTATGAAAATGTGTAAATGGCTTGGATTAAATTAGCTGCACAACTGTAACTTTTCTGCAAATTTGATACCGATACATTGTTTTAATACTGATTTTTGTGACATTCTCCTGAAACAGAAGCAAATGTTCACAGGTGTCACTGTGTTGAAATAATGAGTCCCCCTGAAATCTTGTTTGGTTTATTCTTCCTTTCTAATTTATGGTTATGTTAGTTTGGCGTAGGTTTTCCAAAGGGCTGAAATATCCATTCCGTTGGGTTGGTTAAGAGGGAAAGTGGGCTAAACAAGTTTATGTTAATGTTGTTTGAATTTTTAATATTATGGAAACAAATATATAGGAAACAACTAAATTGATGGAGTGCACTGCATTGTATAAACTTATATTTTATTCTAATGCTCATAAAATTAGACTGAATAGTTTTATTTGTGAACAGATTATTCATTTTTTCGACTATTATTTTTCAGCCGAAGGGGTTAAAACAATTTCACCTTTTCATAATGAATTATCTCTTTGCTACTGGGTGAATTAATTTTATTCTAGTTTTCTATAAGAGTAAAACATAATCATTCATTGTCCCCCTACCAATTTTCATGTCAGACTGCAACTCTTTTGTTGCAGTCTGTGGATATTTGCCAGCCATCAACTTCTATGAAAATGAAGATGAAAAGCCAACAGCAAATGGAGCAAATGTTTTCCAAGGTAAGAGAGAAAAAAATCAGGCCTTTCTACCATTTGAAACAACTGGCTTAAGGCTGGTGAATGAGGTTGGGACAGCTAACATTCTGCTGCTGTATAAAATATCGCTTGACTTTTCAAAAAGAGATTTTGCTGTGATCACAAATTCAGAGTTGCATGAAGGACTTTGAACGCTGAAAATATGTGTAAGGTCGGCTAACAATTATATTATTATATTATACAAATTATTATTTGGGGCATTTTCTTCACTTCTTTCCGGATTAGAATTCTGTTTAAATCGGTATTTCAATAATGAAAGATTTCTGTGGCCTTCTGTTCTGCTATCTAGAATCTAGATAGCCTTTCTATTCCTCTTTAAATTTAGCATTTTTTTTATTTTATTTTTGTCTTTCAAAGCAGAATTCTTTCCTATCTCAATTTTGCCATGTTTTGGCCTCTGACTGATCGTCATCAGTCACATGGCTCAATCACTGACTTCCTATAAAGAATAAAAGGACAGAGGGTTTCTGAGGCAAGATTTTGTTCATTTTGCCTCAAGATATTCTCCAGGTTAATATGTGAATATAGTTGTTGCCTGAGATTATTCATATAAGACTGCAATATTTGAAAGGCTAGGATAAAGCCATATTAGAACATAAACGCTAGAAAGTTTTAATAATGAGACATATGTCAAAACTACACAATATGTTTTTAATAACTAAGTTGACGGTTAACAACAGAAATTGAGAAGAAATAATTTAGGAATGTAGTTCTTTCAAATACACAGCAAACATTCCAGATACTCTTTGAAAGCATTCATGCTGAAGTTCTAACAATAGAAATGGTGGAAAAGTTAAATTGCTTATAGCTAAATGGGGTGGATGTCCACAGAGGCACTTAATGAACTATACTGTCTGTTGTGTAGATAGCTATACATAAGTATAAAACATAGCCTGCAAGGCAGATTATATGATACATTATGCAACATTTTCACCCTCATTCAGCAGTTCTAATTATTGACAATCATTTTATGTATACAAGTAGTTCTCAACATATAGCTAGTGGGGCCTGCCCAGTAGAGTAGTATGTTGTAAGGTTCATTAAGGGAACCAATGGTTTACTATACAGGTAGTCCTCGACTTATGACTATAACTGAGCCCAGCATTTATATAATAATAATAATAGTAGTAGTAGTAGTAGTAGTAGTAGTAGTAGTAATGTTGGAAGGGACCTTGGAGATCATCTAGTCCAATCCCCTGCTCAGGCAGGAAACCCTATACCATTTCAGACAAATGGCTGTCCAGTCTCTTCTTAAAAACTTCCAGTGTTGGAGCATTCACAACTTCTGGAGGCAGGTTGTTCCACTGGTTAATTGTTCTAACTGTCAGGAAGTTTTTCCTTAGTTCTAGGTTGCTTCTCTCCTTAATTAGTTTCCATCCGTTGCTTCTTGTCCTGTCCTCAAGTGCTTTGGAAAATAGCTTGACTCCCTCTTCTTTGAGGCAGCCCCTGAGATACTGGAAGACTGCTATCATGTCCCCCCTCGTCCTTCTCTTCATTAAACTAGACATACCAAATTCCAGCAACCGTTCTTTATATGTTTTAGCCTCCAGTCCCCTGATCATCTTTGTTGCTCTTCTCTGTACTCTTTCTAAAGTCTCAACATCTTTTTTACATCGTGGTGAACAAAACTGGATGTAGTATTCCAAGTGTGGCTTTACCAAGGCATTGTAAAGTGGTGTTAACACTTCACGTGTTGCTAAGTGAGACATTTGTTAAGTGAGTTTTGCCCCATTTTATGATCTTTCTTGCCGCAGTTGTTGAATGAATCACTTTAGTTGTCAAGTTAGTACCATGGTTGTTAAGTGAATCTGGCTTCCTCATTGACTCTGCTTGTCAGAAGGTCGCAAAAATTGATCACATGATCCCAGGTCACTGCAACTGTCATAAATACATTCCAGTTGCCAAGCATCTGAACTTTGAGCTCTGACCACGGGGATTCTGCAACAGTCATCAGTGTGAAAAAGGGTCATAAGGATTTGGGTATTATATTTTCTTTCCACAGAGCCAATCTATTTACTGATGTGTTGTATCAATTCCTATAATACCTAGTCCTAATGGCCTTTGGCTATGCTAGCCGGAGACTATGGGAGTTGAAATCCAGTAAATCTGCATGGTGTAATTTGTGGAATTTTGTGAAGCAAAACTTTTGGTAGCAAGTGTCACATCTAGTACACTGAGGTAAGGCAAGAACTACAGTGGGTAGGACAATGATACAAACTGCACCCACTTTGGACCATGCTGGGGAATAAACTGATAGTTTTTCTTTTTAATGGAATTAAATTTATTGTAGGACTTACACTACAATTTTTACATATTTTCTGCCTTGAAGTAGTTTAAAAACTGTTTATCCCATTGCATTACACTGAGATAGTATTACAAATGTTCACTTCTAGATAGGACGTATAAACGCATTGTGTAATCTTGCAATATCTTCCCTTTCAATCTTTTTAAACAAACTCAACTGCACTTTATTTTATAAAAACATGGTATCTGAAATAATGTTTGAAAATATTTTAAATGCCTGGGTTTTTAAATTATTAGTTTAGAAGAACATACTGCCGATGGGGCATCAGGCTAATTTAATTCTCCTTTATTTAGTTTAGTTCAGTATGCCATCCACAGCATACTGAATTTTAGATTTTTCAGTATGAATAAAATACAACCATCCTAGCTAATGGTGGTTGTTACCTTTCCTTAAAAGCAAAGACTGTAGTTAATCATGGCTAATACATTCCAGTGGTTTCATGGGGATATGCAGTGTAGCTCTTTTTTTACTCCCAAGATAACTTTTTCTGCAGTGTGACTTTAGGGACTGGTAAATGGGTTTTCAATTACAGCTGTTTTGCTTCCTTTTTTGCATCCATATCTAGAAGACACAGGGAGGAAAATCTGAATCTTCTTATCCTACACACAGCCCGTATCTAGCTTCATTGTGTTTACTTGGAGGTAACCAGAAAAATCAAGAGGACTAGCTGGATACTAGAACATTTATAATGATGAAATGAAAAAACTCTCATTTTCTGCTAGCCTGGGAGCAAGATATACGATGTCTACAGGAGGGCAGATTTTCATTTGACTTCTTCCATTCTTCAAATCAGTCTAAGCTACAATGGAGTTAACACTGAATGAAGCATTTGCAGATCGAAGTTATCAAGAAAATAGAAGCCTTTGGTGCTGCGTGTCTCCACTTCAGTATCTAATTAAAGCCTCAAAGTTTTCAAGCCCTGGATAAGATGCCATGTTTTAGCATAGAGCCATTGCCTTAAAAAAAAAAAAAAAAAAAAAAAAAAACCAGCTCCTTTGCAGCAGGGAAAGGCAGCAGAGCCTAGAATATCTGTCCAAACAAAGAGAAGTGGGCATAGATTTATTTCTTTAGCAGCCCAGCATGGGGTGTCAGAGGAATCATTAGCAGGCTCATCTTGGTCTTTTCCCTTTCCCACACCTGCATTCCACCAACCCAGGGCTGTCACTTTATGGAGCAGAAGGAGGCAGCTTTGTCGCCATGAAACTCTCAGGGTAAGCTGACAGCTGCAAAGAGACAGACAGTAAAATGTAAAGAGAAGGAAGGCGAGGGATCACCTTTGAAGTCTACAAAGAAGAATGACTTTGACCACTTCCTTCTTTAATTAGTCCTCTCAGGTACATTAAGATATCTGCCAAGGAGGCAGCCTTTTTGCAGGAAAAGAAAATATGGCAAAAATCTTTTTGTTTGTGCATGGAAATGTTTTTCTGCATTAGTAGAGACGGAGGGAAATTGAGACCTCGGGAAACTTTTCAATAGCATTTTCCTAGCTAAAAAAAGAAACACTGCAGTAATTGTGAGCAAAGGACAACACTGATGTAATGTTTACAAGTAAAGTTGGATTCACCTAGAGAAGGCAGGAAATCCAGAGTTAAGGGTTTCTAAGGCAACAAATAACTTTCCACAGTTTGCCTTTGCAATAAATTATTAGTTCTTATGCTATGAACTTTCTATAAAATTTAAGCTTTTGAATTTTTCAGAAAGATGGGAAATTGTATAAATTTTTAAATCTCTGTTCCAATTCCATTTTGCATTGATTTTGTGTTGAATAGGAGAAAATCAGTCTAATTTTTTTTTAGAAGTGCAGTTGCAAACCAAAAGCCTTTTAGAGACTCTTTTTAAATTGATGTAACTCTATACAAAAAGTGTAAATCAAGGCATAAATACATTTTTTGCAGATATCTTAATGAATTACACAGTTATTTGAACATGTAACTGGAGAAAAGTATTTTATAAAGATGCTAATCGTCTAAATAAAATGGGCATGACTGAGCTACAGGGAAGCACTTTAGTACAGATTCTATAGAAAGAAAATTATATATTTGTTCCAATTTCATACCAGAGCAAATGAATTCAAGAATGCCAATTTGGAGCATATTTAAAAATACAGCAAAAAAATCTCTAGATGGAATTGTATCTGTTCTTTTCAAAAAGAGGTTTCTGATATTAAAAAAAAATGACATACTAATTTTGAAACATGGTGAAAAAAATAAAATTCTTCAATAATATTTTTCCAAGGATACAAAATATCACCCCTAAGTTAGAAAAAAAGCACAATTCACTTATTTTTTCTAAGGTGCCAAGAATCACTGTAAATGAGTGGACAGCCATATAAATCTTATAAATTAAATAAATAAACACACACACACATACACACGCAAAACAATATTTAAAACATTTGCTAGGCACCTATAAACTTGGCTCACTATTTAGAACAATGGTTTAAGAAAACTAATATTTGAATGGCATCAAGGATGTCCAGAGGGTGGGGTTAAAAAAATTATCTTGATAGCCACAATCATATGAAGCCCTAAAACAGGGCAGGACTTTGATCACAGAGTTGTCACTTTTTTTACACCTCCTTCTCCCATGGACATCCTTGAGTGGCATGCAATGGGCCGCACTCCAAAAAGTGAGTCTGGCATAGAAAAATAAAAGAGGGGAAATGGCAGATCGATTTTAATTGTAATTAATGCAATTTAAAATATTCCCTATGCCTGTGGTGGCGAACCTATGGCACGCGTGCCACAGGTGGCACACAGAGCCTCTCTGTGGGCACGCGAGCCGTCGCCCCAGTCCTAGGCCTTCAGCTGGGTTTTATAAAACCTTTTCAATTTAGGGCTCTGCTGCCATGTGCAAAAAAAAAAACAAGTTCAATCAATCAATTTCAACTTCTTGTGGGGAAAAAAAAGATCTCGCAAAGTTGGAATTGATTGATTGAATTTTTTAGTCCCATCCAGTCTGCCGTTACCACCGCAGCCATGCCCACCCAATGGGCCATACCCACCCAATGGGCCACACCCACCCAGCACCCAATGATACATAAGTGGGTTTTGGGTTGCAATTTGGGCACTCGGTCTCTAAAAGGTTCGCCATCACTGCCCTATGCATGTAATAATTTAGCTTGCTCATTAAAAATTTCAATTTTACCACAATTCTGGGGATCTCCCCCCGCCTCAGTGCTTTGGGAGAAATGCATGAAGGTGAGGGGCTTATACACTCGCTGAGAATTTGTGACTGAAAACTCTTACTGAGAACTTTGCCCTAACTTTTTATTAGCAAGCCCTGTTCTCTAGCAGAACTGTAAATGCAGGGGCATTTATTAATCTATGACTTAATTTATGCACCAAGCTTAAACAAATATGCCAGATCTGTGCAAGTAAGAAAGAATAAGACTGGCTGGCATTCTATTCATTCTAGTCCAGTTTATTATGGATGCTCCTTTATTTCAGAGGGTGAGAGTGTAACAGCTCCAAATCAGAATTTAATAGGGCAAAGTCCCTTCCCTTTTTTTTCCTCTGCAGATTTTGCAACCTGCATTGAAGTTATGATGCACAGGAATTTTTAATGCAGGAACAGAGAGAATGAGATAGGATTAAGATCAGAACATCAACACACAGAAGATGGAAGAGGAATAGGTTGGGAATTAAAGACTATTTTAGTGACAGCAGAAAATTTGGGTCCTCAGACTTGCAAGATTCTATTAATTTAGCCTTACAGTAAAGTAGAATTAGTCCATCTAGTTCAGGGGTCTTCAAACTTGGCAACTTTAAGACTTGTGGACTTCAACTCCCAGAATTCCTCAGCCAGCTAGCTGAGGAATTCTGGGAGTTGAAGTCCACAAGTCTTAAAGTTGCCAAGTTTGAAAACCCCTGAACTAGTTGTTTCCTGTCTAATTTACCTGGAAGGGCTAACAAATGTGGCAAGGCAAAAGTGTAGGGAAGCCAAGGAAAGGAGCGTGCAGTGCAATGCACAGGAAGGCCGAGGATGGGGGATTACCAGAGTGACTTGCGACCTTCCTTACTGGCTTGTCAGTGACTACAGGGCACCGCAACCGTTGTAAGTGTAAGACAGTTACCAGGCTCCTGAATTGCGATCCCGTGACTGTGAAGGTATGACAATAGCTAGAACTTCAAGAACAGATCGTAAGTACATTTGTTCAGCACGGTCACAGCTTTGAGCAGCTGCTGAACAAGTGGTCAGTAAGTGAGGACACTTCTAGAAGGGAGGCTGGAAGAAGATAGCAAAGGTCAACTGGGGGTGACAGGGCTGGCAGAGTGCAGGGCAGCTGAAGTTAAGGCTAGGGTTGGCACTGGAGCGGCTCGGCTCTGCATCATGAAGCTGGGGCAGCACTCTTTGCGATGGCAGCGCCAGCAATGCTGAGGCTCATGTAGAGGTCTCCAGTTGGCAGCAGCAGGCTGAGACTAGCTCTGCTTCAGCACTAAGCCTCTTAGCCCCTGCCCTCATCTAGAGTGCCACTAAGCAGGATGACCAAAAAGAGAGAGATGGAGAAATAGGGAGATGGGAGAAATTCAAGAGGAGACAGTCTTACTGTAGCTTACTAAGGCTTGGGGCTTGAGGGCCCAAGCTGGAATTGGCTTGGATGAGATGGGACATCACCTAACAACCGAGAGTGATCCGCTTAATGACAGCAATGGGGGCTGCTAGGATTGCTGTGGCTAAGGGATGTGATCACATGACATTGAATTTTACAACTGCATTGCTTAGCAACAGAAACTCCTGTCCTAATTACCATTATTAACCAAGGACTATCTGAATCAATACAGAGGAGCGTAATATTTAGCAATTTGTGCATTCACTGATCATCTCTGCTTTGTGTGGTAATTTTGGGAACTGCATCCCAATATGTCTGGAAGGTGCCTGATTTGAGAAGGCTGACGTAGATCAACATGTTATATAGCCTATAAACCGAGTTTTCAAGAGCTAATTATAAGTAGGGATGCAAAGCTACAGTTTGGATTAGGAGCCTGATCCAGGACTCTGGATCTCTTTTTTCTTCCAAATTAAAGTGATGGAATTAAATACTGTATTCATAAAAACCACCAATTAATATAGTGACTTATTTGTCCTGCTGAATCAATGGTCTGAATATTTCCATCTTGGGACATAAAAACATTCAAAGAAGGAAAAAGCTTAGTACGTAATATTGATAAAATGTTCACTTGGTAAATATTCTACAAATAAAACAGGATTTGTCATTTACTGTAAATGCCAATTTTCTTGTGGCAAAAACAAGCAATATCGGTCCCCAAACCAGACAAAAGTCTAGTATACGATTATCAAAACTTGTAAGTATTATTAAATGCAATATAGGCCAGATAATTTATCACTGGGCAGTGGTTTTTTAATGCCTTTGATCATTATTGTTTCATGTAATTAGTTTTTATACTGCAATAAATTAACGCCAATAAAATCTACAGCTATATTTATGTGTTACAGGGAATAAGCCGTTTCATGGTTTGTTTATTATATGTTACAGAGGACCACAGTGTCTTAAGATTGATTGAAATTTCATAGGAATTTTTAAAACCTCTCCTTCTCCCCCTCTGCAGGTCCTGCTTTCTGATGTGCGGAAAGAGCAATGGGAGCCACTGAAATCTCAGCAGGTGGCGCATTTTTCAGCTCTTCTTCACCAGGTTTGCATTGTCCTGCCCCCATCCTTCTTTCCCCAAATTGTAACTATGGGATGGAAGTGGCTATGTGTGTGTGTGTGTGTGTATATATATGCATGTGTAGGCAGGTGGGGGCAGGGTGGGATTATTTATTTTTGTTCTTCACCTGGAGAGAAGCCAAAGTTTTACAGTATGAAGAAGAATTTTTGAAGTTTCAAGATCAAGCGGAGAGCTGAAAGGAAGCAGTGCCTTTTATTATGATAATTTTGTAATGAAGGCGTCTACAGAAGGAGGGTAGGCTACTGGGCCATCAGCTCCTCCCTGCCACAGACATTCACAAGTCTTCTTTACTTAAGGTGATTAGAGAACTACAAAGTCAAGGGGAGGGGTAGGTTTCACACTCTTATCTGAAGCTCTGGGGATTTAACTGCTTTTTCAAGCTAGCTGTTCCCTCTAAGATGGCCATCTTTTAGTTGGGCACACTACCATTAAAACTTTGCTGAGAACAGCCCAAAATAGGGTCCTGCAAACATCCTTAAACCTACCTTTAACCCAGGTCTTTCAAGGACGGATGAAAACAGGATACAGCAATTGATCCTACTGAGCTCTTACCTAAAGTAGAAAAATATAGCTTTGCTTGTAAAGAAGGCCAAAGGTCACTGAATTTTAGAGAAAGGTGCTTTTAGGAAGGTATCCTTAATCATACAGAGGCTGGCTCCAGGTTTGTGTCAACATTGTCTTTATTCAAAATGCCATTTCCCACTTGCATTTTATTCTATGGCCTTAGGCTGCAGAAGGGTACAATCAAGCTTCCCAATCAATTATGCACAGCAGAGTGAGATTGTTGGTTATTTCCCTGTTAGGGCTGTAAACCTTGCCTTACATTGGCTGCCTTTTTCTGCTCTTTTGAAATCTGATTTATGGATTTTTAAAGCTTTTTTTTTTCAAATTAACACTTTCTCACATAGAACAGGAAAAGCAGATAAATTTGCTGCCACGAAAATAAAAGCCCACCATCACATTTCATGTTATGAAAGTACAGTCATATGCTTTTGTTGCATCAAAAATTGAAAATATTAGAGAGTCTGGATGAATGAAGGAATTGATTTTTACATTGTGTTTCTTAGTGACTTTAGAGACAACAGCAAAATACATTTATTTTTCTTTATTTAAAGTTTATTTAGATCGTCTGACCATTTTTGTTCAATAAAGTGTTTGGAACTAACAGAGAAGAATCTGGAAAGTGGTGGAACCAGATGGAGTGTTTTTCTCTATTACTTGGCTTAATGAAATATATAACATGCCCTTTTTTATAAAGGTTCTGATCAATAATAATGTGAAATAGTCCTAACAGATGTTACATAAGGCCATGTTTGCTAATGGCATGAAATCTATCTATTTTGATTAATATCTATTTAAATCATAATTTTCTAGTAAGTCACTGATATGCTAAATATGCTTCAAACAGGGCTGTCATAGCTTCTTTAGTAAGCTTTATTAAGTTGAAATAGTGAAAAGAAGGGGGGGGGGAGGAAGACATATACTAAAGACTATTTTAGAATATTCACTACATCATATATTCCTTGCAGTACTTTAAGGAGAGTCAATATTTTATTACTCTCACAGGGCACATGGAAGCCAAAGTTGGCTTCCTTCTGGTTGTCCATTTAATCTATCATTGACGTAAGATTTCAAATGAACTCATGAAAGTTTTGATAATCTATTAAGCAATATGTTGAGATAGTACAACCCATACAAACTGGCCTTATATACTTAATATATACAAAACCCCTCTCTCAGTCGTTGCTTAATTGGATTATGCTAGAATATGTAAATAATATTTAAAACCCTCAAAGGACAGATTCAATAGACCACTAGGTCTTTTTCTGCTATCAGTTTTCTATATTTCTAACTATAAATTCAAATAATAGGAAGTAATCGTTTCTCTTTATTCTTCTCTGCTCAGATCCCAATTTTTAGTACAATTATTGGTCCCACACTTTAAAAACAATTAAGGGAAAATGGACCAATTTGGACCAATGAAAACGGGGACTAGACTTGTGGAGAGAGATTGAAAGAGCTAGAAATGTGTAGTCTTTGGGAAAGATGATGGTGCTGATTAAGAATGTGAGAGTAGTAACTAAAAGGATGTCACCTGAAAAAAAATTAAAACTGTCTTTGATTCTAGAGCAGCAGCCCCCAACCTTTTGGGCACCAGGGACCGGTTCCGTGGAGAGAGGTTTTTCCGCGGATCGGAGGGAGTGTAGTTTCATGTTCTGCCTGCATCCCATGGATGGGGCTTCACTTGTTTGTATGGCCTGGTTTCTGGCATGCGGCAGCGGTGCTGGTCCATGGACCCGGGGTTGGGGACCCCTGTTCTAGAGTGCAGAACCTGGGATCATCTTTTTAAGTTACAGGAAGTCAGGTTTCAATGGAATGTTAGAAAGAGCTTCTAAACAGTGAATATGACAATGGAGTAGGCATAGGATGTGTTCCAGTAGAATGGAACTGAATTGGGATGCTTTCATTTCAATTTCTGCACTGCACGCTTATTATGAAAAAAGATCTAAATTGTATGTGGTGGGAGGCAGGGTTGAGCAGTCAGCAGGATAATAAATTGAATACATAAATTGTCTGAAATTCTCTGTCAGTTTTTTCTCAAAGTGCTATCTTTCTCTAATAAATGGCATTAAGATAAAGCCAGGGTTCCAGAAACAAATAGGTTCATTAGCGCAAATCTGACTTTTTTTTTTAATTGATAGAAGGAATCAGATAAAAGAAGGAAACGTGAAATGCGTCTTCATCGTCTGCATCATTTGTATTACTTTTCCCTTATTAAAATGGCACTGTCCAAGAGGTAAGTTATAACATGTGGCATTACAATTATTATTAGAAAAATACTAAGGTGGATGGACTCAATTACAGTAGCCATGGGTGCATCACTGGAAAACTTGAAGGGTTGCCTTGTGGACAGGTCATCTTGGAGAAAATCATGTGATCACTAAGAGTCAATAACCTGGGGGCACCTAATCAGGATTAAAGTACTTAAATATCTTAAATGAGTATTGCATTCATTGGGACCACATCTGATTAGCCCTGGTGTAAAATGTTTCCCAGTCAGAGTTGGCCAAGTAATATCAGACTTTTGCCCCGCCTTGGGTCCCTAGATAAATTAATCACAGTAACCCGATTACTGAAGTATATTTCCGCACTTTCAAAGTTAGGAAGAGGAACATGCGTCTTGCCATGTCCACAGAACGTGGGGCTCCTCGTGTTCAACAGATAGTGGCTATGATAAATGGGAATGTAGAAGCCTACAAATTGGCTCTAACAAATTTAAGAAAGCTAAATTGCAAAACTACCAAAGGAGGCATTTGTGTGCTAAAGCATTTATCGTTTTTGGAGAGTGAGAGAAAGTAACGGATTGGACTCTATTAATGTATTTAACTTTGTTTTTTTTTTAAAAAAAAAAACACATATCTGACATACCCAAATCATGCTTAGAAAAGCACTGTGGTCTTTGAAATCAATAGAAATATCATCTGGGGTAGCATTATGTTATTTTTGTACAGTGTGTAACATCAAAGACTTGTTTTCTATATATCATATGCAATATTATAAATTGACTTATTCTATATTTATTAGTATAGCTCTGGAGAGGTTTATTTTATAGATTTTGGCTTTCTTTGCATGAATCTGAAGGAAAAATTGCATGACATATTGATTTACTCATGCCAGTTATATTTAATACTATATCTGTGGGACTTAAAAAGGGCAATATGAAATATCCTTCTCAAATAAGAAAATATTTCACAGTGGGGAGGGGGGAGTACTACCTTAAAATAAGAACAGCGGAAATTAATTATAAACATCATTGTAACAGTGCTAGAATCAATAATTATTTTGATTTGTTAAATTTGTAATACATAGGTTTTAGATGACATTTTCTCCCTTCTAATTATCAAGATCATAATCAGATTTCTTTTTTTTAAAAAAAGTGATATGAAATTTTAAAAGTTTTTTTTTGCATTGCATTAATTATATTTTCAGGATTCTTTAATATAAAAGATGATGCCAAAGAGTTATTTTTAAAAATGTAGAGAAATAACTTGTACAGATGACACTGAGATTCTTGGCCAGTTTCAAATCTACCAACAGCAATCTTTCGTATCCTTGTTTTCCTGGAAAAATTGCCACTGAAGCAAGTTAGGAAGTGTCTTATCTTTTAAGGTGATACTAGCTGTTTCAATTCTTTTTTCTTTTCTTTTCTTTTTTTGGGTTACTGTTGGAACAGGCTCCTAAACCAAAATGGTCAGTTTGCAGATGTCAGGAAAGAGCAAAGTGTCCATGATCTGGTTAGTATCAATCTTGTTCTCTCTGTGTTAAGATTTACATTGGCATGTTTCCTGTAGCCATGTATACATGCTTCCCATTGATTTTTGCTATTGTTATCTTTGATGTTAAATCAAATATAACAATATGATTTAGAAAAACATTCCCAGAAATAAAATGACTGTGTATTAATGGGGATATTTTATAGTCAGAATTTAATTTTGAATGTTCAAAAGCTCACCTGTCAACCGTAAAGGTAAGAATGCTCATTTCTGATGAAGACATCAAACTACAGCTCCCTCTAGACTAGATGGTCTTGAATCCAGTTTTCTATCTTTCCATCTTTTTGGAAGTCAGTATATTTTAAATTTGAAGTTGTATATTTTCCAATCACGACAATGTGATCAATTATTCCAGGATTGCAGACAGTTATAGTCTATACTTCAGTGCCAATAATATTTTGAAAGTTTGGTAAGGGGTAAAAATTATGACTTGAAGTATGTGAGTTTTGAAAAATGGCTAGAAAGAAGCCTGTAACATAGTACTAACAGTAATAAATAAACTGGAGAGCCATACAAACCTCCCTAAAAAATCACTTTTTCTGGAAATATAACATTTCTAACAGCAATATGATTGGTATGATTTACATATTGTTACATTTTAAAAGGTACTTTATCTGATTTTTGTATATGATACTTCTAGATTTGCACCTTCCTTATGGATTATATTTTGAATGAGTACAGCAATAAAGAATGAAAACTAGCAATAAAAATTTAGCACTCATATACTTTTTGTTGTGATCATGGCACAAACCCATTGACAACAGAATATCAAAACACAGATATTTCCACTAAAATTGCTACAACATAAATTAAAATATGTATCGAACTTACTAAACAGTAGCTGTGTTAAATATTCAAGTTCACATTTAACAGGCTAAAATTGTTTCAAATGACTTTTTTGGGGGGAAAAAAACACCCTTTGTTTTTGTCATTTCAAGATGGAGTATTTGTTTCCAAATTATCATGAACATTCCGGACTGAAATGCAATAAGAGGGTAATAGAAGAAAACACAATTCCATGTGTAATTCATGCAAAGCAGCAAGAAATGCATCAGAAAGACTCTCCCAAAGTGCTCAGTATTCCAAAAGAAAAGAACATATTGTTGAAGCAAGAGAAACATATTGATGTGTAAGTTTTTTTTGTCTTTAAGGCTGCTGATTGGTCACGTCTTGTTAATGAACCAAGTGGACAGAGACTGATAGTTCTAATTTACTTGGAGCTGGAAATTCTAAACTTTGCTATTGTGTTGGCTCCAATATCTGTTTACTGTATGCTAATTGACTTTAGCTTTTTGAATGTATAAGCACCTCACAGGTGGTCTTTAACTTATGACCATTTATTCAGAAACTATTTGAAATTACAAACAATGACCAGTGATCAAAATTCAGGCACTTCACCACCTTCACTTATGACTGTAGGAGTGCTACAATTCCCTCTACCTGCCTATCTTCCTCTGGTCTCTGCCATTTTGGTCCTCTACACCAGGGCCTTTCAATCAGTGGTACGGGTACCACCTCTGGTACGTTGGCACCTGGCAGGTGATATGTGATCATCCTAGAAAAATGGTAGCGGGGGAGGGGAATGAGCTGAACTGGTGGCAGCACCGCACAAGCCTGAGTGAGAGATGGCTGGAGCTGCAGGGTTGTCAGGCTTAGCAGAAGCACCAGAATCAGTGCCGCTTTCCAGCTGATCGGCACTTCTTCGGGGCTGTCAGGGTTCAGTGGAAGCACCAGTATCAGCACCAGGCTCCAGCTGGAGCTCGGCATTGATCCTGGTGCTTCTGCTGAGCCCAGAAGAAGCACCGATCAGCTGGAATGTTGCAGCATCTCCAGGGTCTTGTGATTTACATTCAGATGCTTGGCAACTGATTCATATTTATGACAGTCACAGTGTCCCAGGGTCATGTGAAGTGACCAAAACCTGCTGCAACCACCCAACAGACAGGTGGAATAAAAACCAAACATCCCCCACCCCACTTCAGCTGCCAATCCCCAACAGAAATGCTCAAAACAATGAAAACCTCGAACAGGAGGAAGAGTACTGCTGGGTGAGCAGGCAGGTGTCTTGCTCGGCTTTGGCCTGGGGGGCACTTTTTTCAGTGCCATTGTAACTTTGAACAGTCATTAAATGAACTGTTGTAAGTCGAGGACTACCTGTACTTTATCACTTTTTTCCTTTTCGGGGGGGGGTCATCAGGTTTTTGACACCTTGCTAGGTGACTGGTGGTACTCGGATATTGCCATATCCTAAAAGTGGTACAATGGGTGAAAAGGTTGAAAAGCCCTGCTCTACACTCCATGGCCTCTATTGCCCTATTGCCTTTTGCCATCTTCTTACTTCTGTTGCTGATCAAACATGCCTGCTCTAGCTCTTGCTGGCCACATAAAGCTTTCTTCCCCAGGTCAATCATGACATGAGACCTGGGAAAGATGGCTTCACATGATCAATAGCTGCCTTGCAAAGGGCAGGGGAAGGTAGACCTCATCAGGAGTGAGAATAAGATGGTGAAGGACAGCTGGGGCTGTAGAGCGCAGGACAGCAAGGGCCTCAGAGTCCAAGATAGCATGGGTAACTATGGGTTAGGATAGCTGAGGTTTATCAGGATGCTGCAGCATTGCAGTGCACTGCGGGTTCTTCCTGGGGCGCTATGGCTTTTTGCCATGCTGTTAAGTTGGCTGAGTCCTCCAGGATTAGCTGTGGCTTAGGATTCAGATCTGTGGCATGCCAAGATGCCCCTGAGCCACAACATGGCAAGCAGCTCCAGGTCTGTGTGGTTCTGAGGTTGCTTTCCATCCTTCAGGGCAAGGTGCAGAGTGGTCCAAAGGGGAGGGAGATTGGTTAGGGGAGGGGAGCTGAAGAAGGAACCAAGCCCAGAATGGCTTTGATTGGGGTAGGTCTTCAGCAAGCTGGTGGAACTTAACAATGTCAGTGGGGCGTGCCAAGATTGCCATTGCTAAGCGATGTGGTCATGTGACATCCAGCAGTATGACCACAACACTTAGCGATAGAAATTCTGATCTCACTTGTGTTTGTAAATTGAGGACTACCTAGATTATGTAAAAACAGGATCTCCAGAACACAAAATCTCAGGGCTTCTATCAGCTACTTCATACCATGACGCCATGATAAATGGATGATAATTGAAGATATAATAACTAATACAGCTATTGGTTTCCAGTTTTGTTTTGCCTGACAGGGTTGAAGATGAGAAGTCATCTGCTGTTGGTGAGAAAAACATTATTGCTATGCCTTTATCTCTGGAAGATGCAGCCCTTTACCATCCTGTAATGGTAGGTTTTTTTTTCCTTTTTTCTTTTTTCTTTTTTTCATTATTTAATAATAATTCACAAGCTTACCAGTGGCATCTAAGTGCTCCCAGCGAGACAACTTTTCTAGACTGGTGGTCACCTCGATATTTTGAAAGCATACAGAAGTAGTCCTTGAGTTACAACAGTTCATTTAGTTACTGTGCGTGACTTAGGACCATTTTTCACACTTATGACAGTTGCAGCATCCTCATGGTCACGTAATCAAAACTTGCATGCTTGGCAACTGACACGTATGTATGACTGTTGCAGTGTCCCGGGGTCACCTTTTACGACTTTCTGACAAGCAAAGTCAATGGGGAAGCCAGATTCACTTAACAACTCTGTTACAAACTTATCAACTGCAGTGATTCACTTAACAACTAGGGCAAGAAAGGTCATAAAATGGGGCAAAATTCACTTCACAAATGTCTCACTTAACAACAGAAATTTGGGGCTCAATTGTGGTTGTAAGTTGAGGCCTGCCTGTACTGGATCTTCTCATAAATAGTTACTCCAAGGCTTGTCAATTCAGGGCTGTCCTGCTGGACATTAATCAAATAACACCCATTTAGAAGACAGAAAACAGGCAAAGTAACTTGCTGCTTTAGTATCATCCTTACATACTTCCTATCACCTCACCTTATTTTGGGGGCAGGAGGGTTGTTCCTGACCAGTGGGCACATTTTCAAACCTGATAGTGGGCAATAAATAGCCAGCCATCTTCCTTCAATTTTATTTTTTTTTAAAGAATGCCCAAAGGCAATATTTTCAATTTGACTCCATTTTAAAATTATTTTTTAAGAATAAAAGGAGCAAGGGGATTGATAGATGCCAAAGAAAATATCTGCAGGTGTACCTGCTGCCTACAGGAATTTGAGTAGGGGACGTAATAACTGATGGCAAATAAATAAACATCATCCACTGGCAGCTGAGCTAACATCTGTGAGAGCCCAGGGTTGTATAGTGGTTAAGAGGTTGGACTACAAATGGAGAAATCCACTTACAACTTAAGCCTCATTCCTGTAAACTCACTGGGTGACTTCGAGTCTCTTACTGTCTCTCAGCCCAAGCTCAGCCAATTACTGTTGGGAAAAAAATTAGAGGAGGAAATGCTCTTTTGCCCTTGGGGTAAAAGCAAGAGATAAACATAGCAATAATTAAATAAGTAAATATTCACTGTCTGCTCTCTGGCCATAGCTAGCTAGACAAGGAGCCAAGATACTGGAAAAAGCCCTCTGCCTCTATATCAGCTCAGTCACCATTCTTCTCCATACATCTATCCAGTTAATGGAAGAGGTATGAAAGAGAAATAATAATAATGTTACAGAAGAGTAAGACATTATAGAAAGGCAGATATGGTTTCAGGAACCGTGGTGAATTGAGAGAGAGGGATTGGAAATGAAAAAGGGTAAAGATTATTACTCTAGAGCAGGAACAAAAAAAAGCAGCCATAATGGATGTCTCTTAAACAATTAAATAAACTATAAAAACCCAATCAGTTTGATACTGATATCTGGAAAGAGTCTAAATATTTCACAAAAGGATTGATCTGCAAGCATCTTGAAAACAAGGCGGCAATTACCAGAATTCTGCATGGATATGTCAAAAATAAGGTTTATCAGATTAATCTTTTTTTATTGGATAACTGCCTTATTAAAATGCTGGTAATATTTACGTGCATTCTGATGTATTGGCTGTTAATTTGTTTAAATATAGGAAATATACTAGTTGATATACTAAAATCTTTTTAATATTATTTAGGAACCCAAGCAAATAGGCAAATATTGGACAAACTACACTGGCAAAAATCTCTTCAACCATGAAAAATATTAACTAAATATTTGGTCCTGTGAAAACATGCTATGGATACTTTGATCAACATGATTTATGACTGTTATGTGTATTGTATCCTTCTCATGCCACTCTTTCATTGTAATTCTCTAAATATGACTTTTTATACATATTCGTTCTTACTAATTATACGAATATTAATCATATTTGTAATTGTTCCATTGCTATCATGGTATTGCTAAGGTCTCTGAGAGCATCAGTACAGTTCTTTGTATTTTCCAGTAAATATATTTCAAATAAATTCCATTCAGTGCAAGCTGATACTCTTAATTCACATTTTCATGAATGAAGAGGAAGAGCCTTGAATGAATGTGCTTCACTGACTGTCTGCTCTTAAACATGCTTTCTGGCCAGTGTATCCATATGCAAAGGATTCTCTCTCAGATATTCTTTTAGCTCTGATCTTATTGCCTTCTCCACATCTTTGCAAGAGGTGATGAAAAACTTACCAGGTTGGCTTGAATTCATGCCTCATAAGTACTGTTAGAAGTAAATCTTCATCCTGGTTCATCCAAGCTGGGAATAAATAAGCAACATGACGACTGCTTTGGGAAGACTGTTACAGTTTATTGAAGAAGCAGAAAGATGGTCCTTGCAGGAAAGAGCAGAGGAGAGAAGGGCTGAGCACATGGGCAGTAGATTTTTATACCCCTCCAACTTTCTGATGGTTTTACATCTGCATTTGTATAGGGCTGGCTCTTGCTTGCGGCAAAGATTTGAGGCCAGGATTGGTTTCTGGTTTTAAAAATCCTTTTGAGGAAAAATATATTTTTCTGCCCTTTTAATATTTCCTTCTCTGGGCTAACTTCCCTTAGTACCATGTGCTCTTTTTCACGAAATTAACAGTTTTTGAACAGAGAGTTTTTGCACTCAGCAAACTGATCAAACTGATCCAAGTTATCTGCTTTTGTACTCCGGTCTGCTGGGTAGCTATAGCATGTGGGGGTTCCATGATGAAAGGCAGAGTGGCAGGGAAATAGGGAGACTGGATTGGGGTCAGCTCTTTACTCCTATCCCTATTCTTAGATTTTTGAAAGCTGATTCGAGCTGAAGAGGACTTTACAGTTTACAAATTCTCCACTTTTCCTTTCTATGACTCATGAGGGGGTTTGGATCATGGATAATAATAATAATAATAATAATAATAATAATAATAATAATAATAATAATAAAAAGTTGGAAGGGACCTTGGAGATCATCTAGTCCAACCCCCTGTTCAGGCAGGAAACCCTATACCATTTCAGACAAATGGCTGTCCAGTCTCTTCTTAAAAACTTCCAGTGTTGGAGCATTCACAGCTTCTGGGGGCAGGTTGTTCCACTGGTTAATTGTTCTGTCAGGAAGTTTCTCCTTAGTTCTAGATTGCTTCTCTCCTTGATCAGTTTCCATCCATTGCTTCTTGTCCTGCCTTCAGGCGCTTTGGATAATAGCTTGACTCCCTCTTCTTTGTGGCAACCCCTGAGATATTGGAACACTGCTATCATGTCCCCCCTCGTCCTTCTCTTCATTAAACTAGACATACCCAATTCCATCAACCTTTCCTTATATGTTTTAGCCTCCAGTCCCCTAAGAGTAGTCTTTGTTGCTCTTCTCTGTACTCTTTCTAGAGTCTCAGCATCTTTTTTACATCGTGGTGACCAAAACTGGATGTAGTATTTCAAGTGTGGCCTTACCAAGGCATTGTAGAGTAGTATTAATACTTCGTGTGATCTTGATTCTATCCCTCTGTTAATGCAGCCTAGCACTGTGTTGGCTTTTTTGGCAGCTGCAGCACACTGCTGGCTCGCACATATCCTTCCTGCAACTAATTGCCTCTCCCTGCTTGGCTACTGTTTCAGGCTCCTAAATTAACTTTAATCCAGCTTCTCAGAGAACTATAAAATTCTGATGCTGGCCTATACCAGTCTTCTTCAGTGTGATGCCATGCCTACTATAATCCCCATCATACGCAGATCTAATATTGGCAATATTGGAGTTTGTATTGCTATGTATTGGAATTTGTATTAACATATATGTTCCATGTTATTATCTAAATTATTCTTGGCAGTACAATTGGTTTGTCTATAAACTTTATAGATAAATATATCAATTCCCAGCTACAAAGAAATCAGCTAAGCTTTCGTGATTAGTTGATGAAAATGAAGGGTTGGAAGAAATATCTACTCTCTGGTGATTTACATTCTTCTGTTGTTTCTGCATTATAAAGAATGCAAAAAGAAATTGTTTTTCTTATTTAACAAAATAAATCAATCAATAAATTTAAAATTATGTAATTTGTCTAAAAGACTTCATTTCCACTGTCTGCAATTCAACCTAGAAAAGTATTACATGTTTGTTAAATTATATGTAAAAAATTTTTTTAGAAAGTATTAGGGATTACACATTTTAACTTAAGAGTCTTAACCATTGCTATTGGGATTGTGCTCCATCATTTATTACTTATAATCTACTCCACTATTGTTCATCCACTATTGTCCCCTTGTTGCTAATGTTCAATTGAGTATTCTATTTAAATGCTTTTTCCCCCCCTTTGGGGCCACTTAATGCTACTAGCCCAATTTTCTAATAAAGGAAAAATGTTGTTTTATATAGCTAAATGCCTATATTTGAGTATAATTGAGTTTGTATCATGCCTTACACTTCTTAGCCAAATTAAACAATATAATCCAGCTAAAATTTGTAGATAGCAAGTTGCTGTTCTGGTTCAACTGAATTATTGCCTTTCCAGCTATGACTAATTGCTGCTACTGAAGGGCAGTATCACGAAGAGGGTTTTTTGTTTTTATTTTTGTTGTTGGATTATGTAACAATTTTATCTTCATACTGAGTCTTGGATATCTTACCCAAGATGGCCAGATGTATTGCAGAATATTAATTAAAACTATATTATCAAAATATATGTGCACATCTCCCAGTATGATGTGCCAATGATTAAAACAATCAGAAATTTTGACTCAGTGGTCCTCTCAGTGAAAATCTTGAATTAAAAAAAAACCACTTTTTACACAACTCTTCCATTTGTTTTGATTCGCATCAAATGGTATTTACTAGATAGGAGTACCAACAAAACAAGATGCAATAGAACATAAGAAATTTGTTAAAGGTTAAAACTCTTGTGAGAGAAAAGCTTCTCACACAAAGCTATTTCAGACCATTGACTTTTCTCCTCCCCCCAGCTTTTTTTTTCCAGTCTACGTTTGCATAATCTTTCCATCAAATAAGCCTTTTAACTATTATCAGCAGAGTTTGTGAGTTTATTTTTCAAAAACAACAGCAACACTGGTGCCATCTGCTTGCAATATGCACCGATAGACGCAGGGGGAAAAAAGCCCTATTTTTCTTAAACTGTCCTTCATGAATATTTCTTAACTCTTAAGTAGCCCTTGAAAAAGAAGTCCTCCCCTAGAATACATCTGAAACCATCCCTAGATCCTAGAGATGTGTGAAGGTTTGGCAGTATATTGCCCTCCGGGTATGTTAAGTACTTTAAAACTTCCTGGCTGTTTCCTGTAATTAAAGCCTCACTTTCCCTGTTTTGCTCCCTGATTTTCCTGTTTCCACATCATCTAATTTGGTAGGTTGCCAGTGTTCCAAGACTATCAAACTTCGCTTCCCCCCCTCCCTCTCTACCACCCAGTAATCGGAAGCCAAGTTCATTTTGGCTTCATTTGGAGCAGGACAATGGAATTAATATTGGTAGACAAAGACACTAAAGTACAACCAAAAGGCATGGCTGTAAACATCATGTGATTTTCATAGACAGTGACAAAAGGCAAACTTTTTCCAACCTTCTGCTTTACATTGGTAGAAGGAGTAGTGAGTGTGATTTAACTAGGAATCAAAAACAAACTTCAGTGATAGAACAACAATTCACCAAACAAAAATTTAGCAAAAGCACATGTAGATAAATTGCATCGACATAATAAGCATCATCATCATCATCATTCAAAGCTGTGAATTATTTTCCAGCTCTGGAATGCATATCGCTAATAAATTCTGCAAGGATAAAATGTGCTGCTTCCTAGAAGCAGCCTATATTCTTTTCCTCTTTTATCACCCCAAGGCGGCTGACTCCAGATTGCATTCTACTACAGTAAGTTGTTAAACACTGGAGTGGAGGTGGGTGGGGCGAATGGACTTCTGGGGTTCTCACACTTTGAAAAAGTTCTTAGAAGTGAAATCTTTCAACTACCCACTATGATAATGAATTATTTATGTGAGAGATTTAGAGTATTATAAGAGGATTTAATTGACAACTTCCTCCTGGGTGCTGCTCAAGTTCTTAACATTAATGAGGCACCCTTTGGAAAGCAAGTGAGAAGTCATTTTTGGAATGCTGATTAAAAATGGTTGCCACAACCCTAACACATTTATCAAAATTAACAAAGGGGTAATTTGAAAGAGTATATACACAATTGAGTCAACAATGGCCGAAAGAATAAAGGCAATATTAAAATTGATAGAAATGCCTTGGAGTACACGATTAAATGCTTGCAGCAACATTCGTACAAAGAGTAAGCTCAGATTGTTAAAAGGCAGAGAAGGGTGTAAATGGCTGGAGTTCAGATAGGAAGGAAGTGAGAAATGTTGTGTGACATAGATCAGAGTTAGACTTAAGCTTCTTCACACCGTGTTGGGTCTTGCAGAAAGGAATATGCAGCTTGCATATTCACAAATCATCTGTAACTGGGAGAACTTAGAACCAAGAACAACCAAGTTCTTCTCTTCATACTGAGTTCCTGGGCTTTTTCATGCCCTGTTCGTAAATAAAAATGCTTAAACCTGTGGTACAGGAGCAGTACATTCCCAGTGTTAACGTCACTGAAGTAACTGAGAACAGCATACTTAATAATTAAGTCCAAAGTATTTAAAGGAACAGTTCCTTAGGGCCAAACTGCATGCATCATTGTGATAAGTATAGGTAGATACTTTATTAGAAAAGGAGGGGAGGACAGCTGAACTTGCCTACCCCGTGGCAAGAAGATTCTATTCTTTGCATTTGTATGCACTTTTCCTTTGAAAACACTATCTTCATAAAGCAGACATGACAAACACAAGGCCCGGGGGCCGGATGCGGCCTGCGAAGTGGTTTCATGTGGCCCGCGAAGCCATCCTGGAAACTGAGGGAAGGGCCCCCTCTGCCTTGGCCCTAGTCCAGGCTGGCCAGGAGCCAATGTACAATTTTGTAGTGGCCATCTATGCTGAAACACATTCAGTCTTAGCTCCATAAGCCCTCCCCCCACATGGCCTGAGAGGAACAGTGAGGCTCCTCCAGTGGACCATGCCTTGGCACTTGCCCTAGTCCCACCCCATTCTTCCAGAGACCTTCAGATCTGTCCCACTCCTGTCCAAGCTCCCACAGGCACCCTTGACACAAACGATCTAGAGCTGGCCACACCCACCCAGTAGGCCATACCCACTCCATCCATACCCACCCAGTAGGCTGCACCCACCCTGGCCACACCCACCCGACCCCTGAAGGCAACCACAATGCTGATGTGGCCCTCAATGAAATTGAGTTTGACACCCGTGTCATAAAGTAATGAAATTACAAGGCAGATATATTTGTGTGTGTGTGTTACAATATTCAGTCTTCTTCAGCTCAGAACTGACTTAAAATATTCTGTGCAATACTTTCTATTAATCAATAGAACTTGAAAAGAGTGGAAGTGTAATGTTTGAATTTTTACAATGCTATTTGAAGGTATACCGAGGATTCTCTGAGAACAATAGCTTTTTCTTTGGCTGTGTGCTGTATACTGCAAAATAGGGAAATAAGTGGGAAATAGGTATAGGAACTCCTGCCAGGATGAAATGTGAATATTTGAATGCTTTGGAAGTTCTTGTCCTACAATCCTGTATAAATTTAGCAAGGTGTAAATAATCTCTTTTTTCTGCATTGCAGAGGAACCTGATTTACTCCCACTTTCTTGTGCTTCAGATTTAGCTCCTTAATATCTATTAATGCTTAATAGTTCAGCATTAAAAATTGCTAGAAATACTGCCCCTTCCACTACACCTAAGAGATTTAATTCGATAGTGTGCATGCTGTAGCTTTCAGTGCAAACCCAGATACTTAATCCTGCTGCCAGACCTATTTATTTAATTCAATTTAGACATTGCTGGACTGCAAACTGACTCTGAGTGGCTGACAAGATATTGAACCTTAAAGACACAATAGAAAATGAAACCCAATAGGATATGACTGCTTTATAAAAACCACAGAGAAAACATATCC